CTCTTTTGCAACCCTAAGGACTGTAGTCATCCATGCTCCTCTGTCCATGGAATTCTCCAGGCATGAATACTGGAGTGGGTTGCCATGTCCTCTTCCAGGGGATCTTCCTGACCCAGGGATCAAACCCATGCCTCTTTCATTGGTGGGCTGATTCTTTACCATAGTGCCACCTGGAAAGCCCAAGCAAAGTAGAGTCATGAGCAAAAGTAGAATGAGCGAAACCTGTTAGGTGGTTACTGCTGTATAAGCAAAATGTAAGCTTATATAGGGTGATAGTAGAAGAGATAATAACAATAAAAATAGAAATATTTGTTAACATTTATATGTCACATAAATATGCCAGGCACTTGCTTCTACATTCTGTTAATTCATTAATCCTTACTTTGCAACAGTCCTATGAAATAGGTACTTTTGTTATCCCCTCTTTACTGATGATGAAACTGAGGCATAGGGAGGTTACAAAACTTGTCCATAACTTATAAGTGGGAAAGCTGGGATTTGAATTGAAGGAAGTCTGGGTGTGGCGTCCATGCTCTAAGCACAACTTTGTCCCTCCTATTGCGTGATCAAGCTAAATGGATCTATTCAGGATATTTATTGTAGATAAAATCTGGACTTACTGATGTATTCCATAGAGAGAGTGAGAAAAAGAGCAAAAAAGAATAAAGATAGCCTCCTTGATTTTGCCCTGAGCAACTGGTTGTATTAAGTAGTGCTGTTAAAATGCTGGTGCTATTAAATAAGTTGGAAAGGACTGGGAGAAGAACAGGTTTGGGCCATGTTCATTTTGAGATTCCTATTAGATAGCCAGATGGAATTGTCAAGCCTGAAGCTCAGAGATGTTTTAGGGAGAAATAGAAATTTGGATGGAATCATGTAAAACATGATGAAGCACAAGCTGGAATCAAGATTGCCAGGAGAAATATCAATAACCTCAGATATGCAGATGACACCACCCTTATGGCAGAAAGCAAGCATGAATTAAAGAGCCTCTTGATAAAAGTGAAAGAGGGGAGTGAGAAAGTTGGCTTAAAACTCAACATTCAGAAAACTAAGATCATGACATCTGGTCCCATCACTTCATGGCAAATAGATGGGGAAACAGTGATAACAGTGACAGACTTTATTTTGGGGGGCTCCAAAATCACTGCAGATGGTGACTGTGGCCATGAAATTAAAAGATGCTTGCTCCTTGGAAGGAAAGTTATGACCAACCTAGACAGCATATTAAAAAGCAGAGACATTACTTTGTCAACAAAGGTCCGTCTAGTCAACGCTATGGTTTTTCTGGTAGTCATGTATGGATGTGAGAGTTGAGCTATAAAGAAAGCTGAGCACCAAAGAATTGATGCTTTTGAACTGTGGTGTTGGAGAAGACTGCAAAGAGATCCAACCAGTCCATCTTAAAGGAAGTCAGTCCTGAATGTTCATTGGAAGGACTTGATGCTGAAGCTGAAACTCCAATACTTTGGCCACCTGATGTAAAGAACTGACTCATTGGAAAAGACCCTGATGCTGGGAAAGATTGAAGGCAGGAGGAGAAGGGGACAACAGAGGATGAAATGGTTGGATAGCATCACTGACTCAATGGACATGAGTTTGAGTAAACTCCGGGAGTTGGTGATGGACAGGAAGGCCTGGCGTGCTGTAGTCCATGAGGTCGCAAAGAGTCAGACACGACTGAGCAACTGAACTGATGTAAAACATAAAGAAGAGCAGCAGGCCTTGAGGAATTCCAGTGGAAAAGCATAGTTATTTGTAAGGGAAAGAGTATGGGTTTTGGCATTAGAAATATTGGAAGAGTTTTTTCAGTTTTACTGATTTCTTTTGTCATATCCAGTCTGCTGATAAGCCCATTGAAGGAAATCTTTATCTCTCATGCCATGCTTTTTCTTTCTCACTTTTCTATTTGCTTTTTTTTAAAGTTTCCATCTTTATGCCCAAATTCTTCATCTGCACATGTATGTTATCTGTGTTTTCCAGTAAATACTTACTTTTTTTTGGTCGAGGCATGAGGGATCTCAGTACCTCAACCAGTGGTCGAACCCATGCCCCCTGCCTTGGGAATGCAGTCTTAACCACTGGACCACCAGAAAATCCCTCTAGTAAATACATCGGTATTTTACTCATAGCTAATTTTCTATCCCTGTTTCTTAATTCTAAAATCTGATGATAGGTCATTTTCCTCTTGGTTTTGTGCATCTCATGTTTTTAATTGAATTCTGGACAGTGCATGGAAAAGAATGCTAGAGATCGAGGCAGGTAACCTGTATTTCTGGTCTGCAGTGGTCATACCGCTTCTGTCAGCCAGTCCATCAGTGTTGGAGATTGAGTCAGTCTGGTCAGGAGTTGGCTGGCTTTGGATTTTGCCGTAGATATGTTGATGCTTTCAGTATATCCCTGAACTCTAAATTCCTGCACAGCTGGGCTGCCACAGGGGTTTTCTCAGTGTTCCTGTTCCACTATCTGCTTTCAGCAGGTCCTACATTCCTGAGACACAGTGGATGCCTCTCTGTATGCCCTTTCTCCTCCCCCAGTGGTAAATTATGCTTTCTTGTTATTCTTTGCAGGGTTCCTGACGGGATCAGAGTGGTTTCTTGATTCTCCTACTCTGTCTCATTATTAGGCAGCCTTTATGCACCTTTGCCTCAGGGTAGAACTTTCAGCACTCTTCCCTGGTCTCCACCCCAACCTCCCATGGCAGCTGAACTTTGCCTTTTATTAGTATCAGGTCCTCAATATGAGGGTGTTTCCTGTCCATCCCCAGCAGCAGATGGCTTTGTTCTCTCTCTCCACTAGTGGTAGTTATATGTCCCTGAGACCCTGCCAGGGAGGGTTTCTTGCCTTGCTCTTAGACACAGATGGCTTTTGCACCCTATGAGAGAAGGGTCCACAGTTGCAGCATATTTGCCTGTTCCTCCACAGCACTCAGTCAAACCTGTATGCCTGTACCTTTCTCGTGAGCACACAGTGGATGCTCAGAGAGAAGAACTGATGTGTGCTTTTGGTCTCCTCTTTTTTCTGAGGCTTGCAGAGATTTGAAACTGTCACATTGGGCCCTCCCAAGCCTTTTACAGTTGGTTGAAAATCTAGTTATTTTCTTCCTGTGCACTTTTATGACAGCTATCTCTTCCTCCTGTGCTTTGTTAATTGTGAAAGAGTCAGTTTCTCCTGCCTCTCCTCAGAGGGACTTTTCGCCCTTTGAAATTCACTTAACTTGGTTGCCCTGCAGCCTCAACTTTCTGATGAACCCAAAAAACTTACAATTCTCTTGATTATCTGACTTTTTCTAATGTTTATCATAATGGATGGTGAGGTTCTCTCGTTGATTTTGTGCAAGTTAAGTGGAAACAATCCTAGAGTTGATTGTCTAACTGAACCATGTTGTTCCCTTTCTTTAAAAGTCCTTTCTTGGTGCCCCCTTGGCTTCAGGGTGAGGCCTCAACACCTGAACCTGACCTGTCAGACCTTTTGTGGTCTGGCCCCAGTTCATCTTACCAGCCTTAACTTGCACTCCAGGTGCAGAGACCTTTTCATATCTGAGCTGATTGTCAGCGTTGTAGAAGAAATTGTGGTTTATATTTATCAGTGCCTGGGAATCATCTTCCATCCTTTAAATGAGTGTTTCCTTCTTCTGAGATGCTTTAGGATTTTGTTTGTTATTTTGTTTCTGTGTATTTAAGCATAGATTGTGGTTTTGTATAAGCAATGTAAGTATTTGCAGATGTGAAGAAGGAAAGATCCAAGAGAATAAAATACTTATAAATTAGTTTCACTATTGATGCTGTTGTTCATGGCTACTGATTAAAATTGGCAAAGAAAGTAAAATCGTTTCTGAATAGATCTTGAAATCCTCATCTTTATCTGCCAAATTATGTAGCAATTGGAAGGCAGGTGTGTCATTTATTAGTTCCACGTTTGATAACCAGTGTGTCCAAGCTGGTAAGCTAGATATTGACTCCCTAAAGTGGGTTGTCTTCTTTCACTAGCAGCCTCCTCCCTTTATCTGGGAGTGCTATAAAAAAGTGTTAATTTATCATTTTCTATGTGTGCCATGGCATGGAAAATGTTGGAATGGACTGGGCTGGATAATTTCTTACATCCTTCTAAAAAACTTTATGACTGTTCATAAGTTCGAAGTGAAGTAGTTGCAGGATATTAATAATAATTTAATAAACAGCTATCAGATGGTGAATTTGTGCCAGGTACTTTGTGAACCACTTTACTTGTATCCTCATTTCATACTCAAAACCAATCCTATGAGGTAGTTGTAATCATCAAAGACATTTAACCCAAGGTCATTTATTAAAGTGGCAGAGCTGGGACATAAAATCAAGTTGTAAAGATCTGTGTTTTAATCATTATGATTGATTTCATACAGTATTAAATTATGCACTAGAAATCGTTCATGGTTTCTTCTCTCAGGTTTTTTCTCTACTTGAGCTTTGGGCACTAACTGGCAGATGAATTGTTGGGAAATGACCTAATGCCTCTCTAATTAAGTGAGATTTTCTGAGCACTGAAGAGAGAACTGTCACCCGACACTAATAGCTATTACCACATGGAAGGCAAAGCATTTAGAAATATTTTTCCTGATGCAGAGTGGGAGTGCAGCTGCCCAGTGTTCTTGAAGTACTCAAATGAAAATGTGTAGATTTTCTTGATTCAGTCATGAAATGATAATGGTCATTCTCTTATCAAACACCAATGCCGAAAACATCAGAGAGCAAAAGAGTCCATGGGTAATGAAATCACGTATCAGAGATTAAAGTTCAATACTAAGGTAATCTGAAAGCATCATAAGTCCTTGTGACCTTAAAGAGAATTATGAATGTTGAGTAATATTCTTTCGTCACCTTTCACATGGTATAGGATGCTGAGACATTCTAAGCCTTAGAGGGGGAGAGGTCTTTTGCTACTGTCTTGACTTTAATTGGAGGTATAATAAATGCTTTGTTTGGAATTAAGGACATTGATACTTACTTTTCTGTCTGTACTAGGTCGGTGATATAGTAGAAGTACAGGCAGATGAAACCTTTCCCTGTGATCTTATTCTTCTGTCATCCTGCACAGTTGATGGAACCTGTTATGTTACCACAGCCAGTCTTGATGGGGAATCTAATTGCAAGGTAATGGAGACTAAACCTTTCCTAAATATTCTCAGCTAAGGATAGGTAATTATGCAATATTCTGTCCCACTGCCCTCAATCTTTTACCTTATTTTTTCCTATTTGTGGAAATTTTGTATTTGAAGACAGTATTTATATAACTGTCTTTGAAACTTCTAAGCAAATACTCAGCTTTGGGGGAAAGGGTGGTGTTGGTTGAGGAAATCCACACCCCAGACAAAAGCCACCACATTTTTATAGCACTGTTTACATTTCATATTGACATTAACCCATTCCACATTGTATTTAGGCTTTTAAAATGAAAGTACTCTTAGGCTAAAACTATATAGCTATGAAAATAATTTCATCTGAAGGTACTCTAACCTTCATCTAAGGTACTCTAAGTTTGATCTATTTTTGTTTTTAAAGTGATGAATATCCTCTTTTAAAAAATGTTTATTCCTGGCATTTTGAAAATCTAAGCTATTGGCTTGATTACTTTTAAAAAATACCTTAGGGTATAGTTTGGCAAATATTTGCTTTATTGGAACTAGGAAGAATTAAAAATGTGTGAGAGTAAATTTGTTCAAACTGGAGGATAACTGACTTCCCTGGTACTTTCTGGCACGGTCAGTTCTTGTCTATCATCCAGAGTTCCACGGGGCATGAAGATTTATCCTCTATGTGCTGCTGCTTTTAAGGAAGAGCACTCATGTGCTCACCTCCGTGTATCTTCTTGAGGGCTTTCCTCGGCTTGTTTATGCTATCTGAACTTGAGGACCAGGATTCAGTGTATGGTAAAGGAACTTAAATGCCTGTTAGATAGCTAATTTTGTTACCACTTCAGGGGCATGGTGATGAACTAGTCCCATTTCAACTATTTGAAAACAAAGTTATATTTAAGGGAATGTCAAGGTGAAAATTGAGAAATCTACCTCAAGATTTCCTACTAAGGGACAAAGTTGTTTAGAAGAAGAAAACTTAACTTTCAAGTGGTTTCATTTCCCACTTTAATTAATCTGATCAAATCAGCTAAAAGTACATAGGTTTTCAACGTCAGGAGATAGTTTTGAATATAGCTCAGACAGTTCCATAATATTCTCCAGAGATCATGCAACAGCTTTCCTTCAGCATAAGTAGTGTAGTCTTTGAGTCTGTGTCAGCCCTTCTTTGATGATTTATAAAAGGATTCATTGGAACCTGCCTTGAGTTCTGGGTCAATCAAGTAAGTACATAATATACCCTAGTAGAATATTCTAACTGTCTGACTAAAGCAAGATACATCATCTCTCTGCTCCTCACATGAGTTGTAGCTACTTGAAGCATTTTCAAGATCATTAATTTTGCTGTTTGTGTAATGGAAACTATTGATGATTTTTTCTTTCTGTTAGCAAAATGTTAGCATTCTTATGACCAAAAGGGTGATTCAATTCTTATTTGTATGTTAACTTCACCATGTACTATGGTGAACAAAATAATAGGTCGCAGTTCTATAAATAGGAGGGAAAAAATGCTTTAAATTTTTCATGGGGTTTTCACTTAATTATATGCATGGTGCAAATGGAATTTTCTTTGCTGTCAGTATCAAGAAAAGCTTTTAGTTTTCTCATTATCTTTGAAATCCCTTCACAGCATAGTTCACTTTCTAATTATTGTAATATATTTTAAGAATAATACCATAAAGTTTATCTAGTTGGAGATGTACATCAGTATTTGTATTATTCTGCCAAAGCCTCTTACTAAAAATATAGTGTTCCTGAAATCAGGTGGGTGTATGATTATAATTTTTTTCTTTTTTGGGGGGGCTGTTTTTGTTTTTTCTTCTGCTTTCATCTAGACACATTATGCGGTACGTGATACCACTGAACTGCGTACAGTTGAATCCATTGATAACCTCAGAGCAGCAATTGAATGTGAACAGCCTCAACCTGACCTCTACAAGTAAGAATTACCTGGTTTCATTTTACTGCTGTCTGATGGCTTTGCTTCTCTTTGCCATCAGTATTAAAATACCCACCACTTACCAGCCTCCTTTCATTTGTGTTTTTATGAGCTGTTCCTTCCTTCTGGCAGGCAAATGAATCAAATCAGCCTTGTTCACTACCAGCCTAAGATAAATTATTGTGGGCTCAGGCATCTCACTTGTGGTTTTTCTTTTATTATTGTTATTTGTAGACATGGCCGTCCATCACATTTTAAGACTATATAATCCCATAAGCCTGAGCTATCAAACCTTGTGCACTAGACAGAGTTAATTAAAACAAAAATAAAACACTTTATGTGTCATCCAACAGTAAAGAGAGAAGGAAATGCAGGATCATGCAATTAGTAGGCACTCTATCCTTTTTTATGAGGATCATGATGAACTAAGTATTGTATATAGGCTGTTTCTTGTCCAAAGTAGATGGATAAGTTGAGGGAGCAGTGAAATGGTGTGATTTCCTCTGTTTTGCTACACCTAGGCTTTCTGGAGTAGCGTTACTGATTAACAATCATTGTGGGTTGTCAAAAATTTGGCATTTGATTTTTCTTTTCTTTTTTTTTACTATTTATTTATTTAGCTTAAGAGTCGGACACAACTGAGTGACTAGCATAGCACAGCACAGCACATTTGGCATGCTGCAGCATGTGGGATCTAGTTCTCCGACCCAGGATTGAACCCAGGTCCCCTGCATTGGGAGCATAGAGTTTTAGTCACTGGACCACCAAGGAAGTCTCTGGCATTTGATTTTTAAGACTACTGATTAGTTTGGTTGACTAAAGCATGGTATTAATGAGGGTAGAATAATGGGTTTTTGGCCAAGTGAGCCAATTAATTATATTCTCTTCTGCCATTACAGATGGCATCCATCACCCATGGTACTCATCTTGTTAATGAATGCTGTTGATTGTAAAAGGGGACCAAATAGTGGGATGTGGCTTACAACAATGCCCAGTAGTGGAAAAAGAAACTTCTCATACTTTTATAAGAATTAAACCCTCGCTCCTTCCTATCATTCCTTCTTTATTTTTTCCCTTCTTCTGTATCCACCTTAATAGTAGGAACTTAGGATCACAGAGCAAAATAGCTGTTTGCTGCCTTCAGGAAGCATGGAATCACAGAAAGGGGAGTGACTGATTTTGTGAGTTAGAGAATAATATAGATCCTTACATATTTATAGGGTAACTCCTAAATTTTTCAGTTACCTTAAATATGAAGGAGATTTTTAGTGAGGGAAGGTTATTCCTAATGTCTCTAATAGATTGAGTATCCTTGGTATGTGACTTCAGAATATTGGATTGGCCAGAAAGTTCATTGGGAGTAAACCCAAACAAATTTTTTGGCCAGCCTAATACCTCCACCACCCTAGTAATCATCACTTACATTGTAATTGCCTGATTATGTTATTTGGTGCAAGGAACACATTTTTCTTGCTTATTAGGAAGCATAGTAATGGTGCAGTTAATACATGATGAATGAATGCAGATGTTCATATTTTGTGTATTTCATAATAATATTTCAGTTTTTCTGAAAAAATCATAATGTACATTATAAAATACTCATAACATTCTTACTAAGGATTTAGAGCTTTTTACCATATTTTTCAGAAATGTAGATTACCATGTGCATAGCCATATATCTGATCACTTGATCAGATCAAGGTCAGTATTCAGATCAGCTGCAAGACACAGCTTGGAAATTTCCAAGATGGTAATCAATCAAGTATTCCCTAATGGCTGTTTCTCAAAGGATGATCTCAGGCCAACAGCATCCACATCACCAGAAACTTGTGGGAAATGAAGATTCAAATTCTTACCTAAACCAAAAGCCTGGGGATGGGGCCTAGAAATCTGTGGTTTAAGAAGCCCTTCAGTAATTCTGATGCATGTTCAAGTGAAAGAATTACTGAACTCGTGGTTTTGAAAGATGGTTTAGCACCAGAAATCTTTCTTCACATGAATGTAAAATAGAAGCCAATTATTTATATGAAGTATAGTTTAGAGGGGTATTGTGTGCATGCATGGTGGTGCCAAATAGATCTTGAAAATCAACTTAGAGTCTTTGTTTACATTCTTATAATCTGTAATATTTTAAAAATGAGATGAAAATTTACAGACCATATTGGTTCAACTTAGCTTTTTCTTTTAAAATTAAGACAATAGGCTTTCATAGTTTACTGTCTTAGCTCTTTTTGCATTATTTGTATTTTGATTCATTCCCATATTTGGGGTAAATAGATTTTTATCTAGATATAGAAGACACACATGCTATTATATTCTTTTTGCAGGTTTGTTGGCCGAATCAATATCTATAGTAATAGTCTTGAAGCTGTTGCCAGGTTAGTTTATAATTCCTTTAATCTGTCCTTTTAGGGGAGGGATGTTTCTCATTTAAGCCCATTAAAATAGCTAAATACTTTCTTTTATAGAAAGGGATGGGGGAAAGTGAATAAATCTGGAGTAACTAGCCACTGATGGGTCTTAAATAGCTCACCTTGTGATTGGTAGGGTTGTAGTGGCAGCGGCTCAGAGTGTGTGTGTCCTGGGAGAGGGTGGTATTGGAAGTGATGATGAGGGTTTCTAAAATTATAGAACTCCAGACTTCTTTGACCACTATTCCCAAATATATTCTATGCACTCTACTGATTGTCCTTGGTTGTGAAGTGTCTGACCATATTGGAAGTATATCTGGAAAGTAGTGTTTTAAGGGAGAGTAATTTAGGGACTAGACGGTAGACAAAATGCTGGGAGAAATAGCTGGATTTACGTAAAATGAAAGGCTTAATAGTTGATAATGAAACAATTCATATAAAAAGGGGTGTTTTTCCCCTCTTCAATCACCCAGTCAGTTATTTTAACTTTTCCACTTGGCCTTTATAGCCAGTGCTCAGAAGGAAGTTAAACACCAGGAGCTCAGTGATTCCCCCCTCAAAGGCGGGTTTGCGCTCTATAAACACAGCACCTTTACATGTGTCTCTTTCCTTTACATTTGCTTTTCCAGTCTTTTCTAGTCACTTTTTCTTTCTGTTTTCTTGCTATCTGCTGTTATCTTGCTTTTCATGACTCATAGTCCTTTCACCTCTGTGCATGTCTTTACCTCTGTGTGTTGCTGGCATCTCCTGTACTGTGTGCTTCTATCTGTGGTGTACCCTAAGTAACTTCAGAGGGGAGGGTTTTTCAACTCGTCCTGTATTAGTAAGCATATTAAGTAGACAGATGCATCCTGAATCTTTTGAAAATAGATGTGTGTGAGAGCAAAACTATGTCCCCAAAGTTGATGGTGCTATTAGTTGGACTCTTTGAATAAGTTGTGTTCATTTTTTGTTTAGGTCTTTGGGACCTGAAAATCTCTTGTTGAAAGGAGCTACACTAAAAAATACCAAGAAGATATATGGTGAACATTTTTTTAAGATATATTTATTAGAAATAGACCTTTTAAAACCTAAATGTTCATAAATGGTGCAGTAAAAAAATTGGACATGGCATTTAATTCCATTTAGTCTAAGTCTCTTTTTAGGTGTTGGGAATTTATAAGATGGTAAACTAACTTGAAATATGACAAACTATGTTGGTTAAAATTATACTATAAAAATATACTGTAAATGATTATTAACTGGTAAATAGAAGAGAATTTATAATTCCTATTTGTATAGATTGAAAAAGTTGGTAGATCCAACTGGGTGGGGAGTTGGGTTGGCAGTCTCATATGTAACCTAATTTTCATTGTATTGTTATTCCTTAGGAGTTGCTGTTTACACTGGAATGGAAACCAAAATGGCATTGAACTACCAAGGGAAATCTCAGAAACGTTCTGCTGTTGAAAAGTTAGTGTGCCTCACAATTTCTTTACTTGTTATTGAACTGAAATTGTTACTTCTCAGTATTTCCAAATATCAACAGTATGAAAAAACAACATAAGTTGTAATAGCATTACCATTTTAAGCACTTCTTTTGTTCCAGAAATTGTGCTCATTGTTTTGTATGTCTGATTTGGTTTAATCCTCTAACTTGGAGTAATTCCTGTTAGTCTGACCACTTTACAGATAGAGAAATAGTCTTAGAGATGATAAGTGATTTACGTAAGCTCACTTAGCTATTCACAGGCAGAGTTTAGGTAAAATTTATTCTCTTTTGCTGATGGTTAATGGTTTGGGGTCCTCTAGTTGCTATATGTAAGGAGTTTGTGCAACACAGGTAATAGTCTCCTTGCAAATAATTGTGTGGTACTTGACACACCTTCAAAGCCATTTGTACTGGCACAGACCTCGCTCTCCTGTTGCCATGGACATGCAGTATATCAGCAACACCCTCTTCATAGCTCTACTTTCGGATTAAAAAAATCCCCACTAAGCTTGACTATTTCACATTTGCTCCTCTACCCTCTATTCCAAACCTTTAGGATTGAGGTTTGGAAACAATCTACTCCTTTTATAAGGATTGAGTAGGTAATGGTGTGTGTCTTCTGTCACTTTATAGGATCCTTACTAAAAGTGTGTTGAGCTAATTAGCCATTGCACTTTGGATTACGGTTAGGACTGGCTTTTCCATTTTACCAGTCAAGAGTAATGCTTTGGCAGTGATAACTGAGGTTCACCCATACAGGCCTGTGCTATGGTTACACGTTGTACATAGGAGAAGCTTTAGAAAACTGAACAATTTAGTTTATACCTGGTTGATATCTTCAGTATTTCAGTGGTTTTTAAATTCATAATATCTTATTTTTCAGATCCATTAACGCTTTCCTGATTGTGTATTTATTTATCTTACTGACCAAAGCTGCAATATGCACTACTCTAAAGTATGTCTGGCAGAGTACCCCATATAATGATGAACCTTGGTATAACCAAAAGACCCAGAAAGAACGGGAAACTTGGAAGGTAATTTGTTTTATGCTGAAATTTGTAACCCTACTGCATTGTGGCAGGGGCACCCTTTATTGAAATACTGCTCAGATAATGATACCTTGGTATTAGAGATTTCTCTTGGTTATATGGTAGCCCCAAGCCATTAACTTTAAGACATTCTAGGATTTTCTTCTTAACCCTAGGCGTATATCCTTGTTTTTAACTCTTAAGTTAAGAGTTTTAGGCAACTGGGCCAAAAGGTCTGGCATGTTAATACATTATCAGCTTGTGATATATCATGATAGAAACATAATGGACGCCTACATGAAAACTTTGATCCTACATTCATATCTGAGGGTGGGACAAGCCAGATACCTTAAGAAAGTAAGAAGTGTTAAGTCAAGGTACATTTACTAAACAAAAGTGACAAAATTCGGGGTGTTTTACATGTTTTCACATGCTGATAATAATGTTGACCAATGATATAGTGTCATTGGGAAGTTTCTTTTTATAGCAAGAGCAGTGCTTTCAGCATTGAAATTAAAAGAAAGTTTATATTACACTTGCTTGATGGAACTATGTGTTTAATTATCATGAACTATTCCCTTTTTTTTAGGTTTTGAAAATGTTCACCGACTTCCTGTCATTTATGGTTCTATTCAACTTTATCATTCCTGTCTCCATGTATGTCACAGTAGAAATGCAAAAATTCTTGGGCTCCTTCTTCATTTCATGGGATAACGACTTCTATGATGAAGAAATTAATGAAGGAGCCCTGGTTAACACATCAGACCTTAATGAAGAACTTGGTCAGGTAAGGACTTATTTTTACTTAAAATAAGGTAACACAGTGAAAATTGCTTTTATTGTAGTCTGGATTACCAGTGTTTGCGACCATTTCACATTTGGAAATGTAACTCAATAAAAATTTCTTTATGCAGACATGTAATGAAGGCACGCGATGTTATCTTAACTATAGTGTCAGTTTTTGCTGGCATTTTTGAGAAAGACCCGATTTATGTATTAAATTTGAATGTTACAGAAATTCTCTTTAAAACTCATCCTGTTGGTGGTATTGATTATGGGTTATTGCTTTGGAACAGGAAGCAAGTAGTCTTCATCACCATCTATAATCAATTAGGGATAGAATGTGGGGTAGTGGAAATAAAGCTATTTTATAAATGCATTTTGTTCCATAAATCAAATTGACCAGAGTTGTCCTATGGACATTTTCTTGGTACATTTTCTTGGACATTTCTGATCAGATGGAATATAGACCTAGAAAGCAGAGTTGTTTATTCTGTGCAAGAATTTAAATGAAGGGAAGATGTGAGGGCATGCACTCCACTAAATGCTTTTTGCTTCATGTACCAGTGTGGTCCAGGCTTTGACCTTCTTGCTAACCCAGGTTGTTTTCAGCTGTAGCCTAGCTGTAATTCTTCAAGTGGTGACTTCTTGGGTTCTTTTCTGACTAGTATTGAGAAAGTTTTTGCCTTTATCTGAATTTACTGTGTCACGTAATGATTTTCACAAGCCAAGGGGAGTGTTTTGGCTTACATTTACTTCTCTTTATATTTAGAATGTCAAGGCTGTGGAAATGTCATTTCTGGGACGAGGAGATGCAGAATCAGTTAATGGAACTGTGTGGATGGAACAGGGCCTCACAGTTGTTTTAAATGGTGCCGATTTGCACCTATAACCTCAAAACTCTGCTCCTGAATTCAGTGTCCCACTACCCCCACTCTCTGTTTCTGTTCTTTATACAACCTTTGCCTAAACTAGAGTATCCACTTGACAACTAGTCACAGGGTGAAAGGATTCTCCAGATATCATTATGTTGAGACCTGACTCTAGGACTCCAGGACCCCAGAGGGTGGCATCTGCCTCCCACAGAGACACTGAGTCACAGAGAATAGAATAAGCCATGAACAGGCAAATGCCTTTCCATTATATATTGTTCCCAGAAGTTTCTTTTATAGGTCACTTCAGTGACCACAGATGACCTTAGCCTTTGTAAACCAGAACTTTTCATCCAGGGACTGAGCCTGGTAGAACTGCTCTAGACCCAGCTAAAGGCATCAATCTGCAACTCTTTTGCATGGGAAAAAAAATGAGTTATAAGCCACCTCTGGTGAACTTTTCCCTGACAGCTGATCTGCCTCTTCTAGATTCAGTGCCTGACTGCATGGATTAACCTACCCAAGGGTGAACATGGCTAGTCCCCAGCTGCTGCAAATAGAACAGCCATCTTTCCACATGTGGCACCTAATTCTCATGAGAGACAGGCAGGATATACAGGCCAGATCTCCACCTCATCAGATTCCATCTTATCTATGAGGATGTGGTTTTGTTCCTATCAGCTAGACTTATTCATACTTCAGAAAGTAAAATAGAGCTTTGGATAACGATCTATTAATAATAAATCTGATCAGTGAAAACAAACCAGTTTTAATTTTAGCCACCACTTCTTTCCCCCACTAAAACCTGCCTTTTTGGGTATGATTGTCATTTAACCAACTAACTAAGGTAATAACCAGACCACCACTTACATTTGTACAGTATAAAAAAAACTTACCATCATACCAACTTATATCAGCTTTTATGTATAGAAACAACCTAAATGAAAATGCAAGGAAGTCTTAAAATGATTTCGTTTTGCATTTAGTGGACCAGTACACACAAAATCAAGTGTAACCAGTTTCCTCCTTGATGAGTCATAGTTTAAAATCTATAGGACTTTTATTTTACTTAAGAGCAGTGTCAATTTCCATCAGGACCATTGCAAACACTTGCTTAACCTCTTTCAAAGTGACCCACATTGGTATTAAAAGAAAAATAGGAAGATATGTTTAGAACACTGTTCGTCTTTGACTTGAAAAGCAAAAAGAACTAGACTGCTCAGTTCAATTGGAAAAGAATGGGGTCTTTTATGATTAGACATCTGTGCTTTAGGCAACCAAATGGTTTCAACCTTGAAAAAATCGTGGGGATAGCCTGTTCCTTCATATCCCATCTCAGTCTCTCAGCTATGCCCAGCAGTATGCCAGGGTATATGCTCTGATTCCAGTAATTCAACCTAGTGGTTGTGCACTAAAGTTCTGTGTTATCTAAGATACATTCTTGGTACTGTGGGTTTCTGTTACAAAGTAAACAAGAAAACCTTGAATTGTTCACCATATAGTTGAAGAAATACACCTTCATACCCTAACTTTAGCAATGTGATGATAATCAGAAAAATTATAAGGACTATGAAATGACGGAAAGAGTCCAGTACTGTGATTTTGATCAGGTCAGCAGCAATGACAGTCAACATCTATGTAACACCTTAGAGCTTACAAGCATATTTAGTAATCTTTACAGCCTTGTGCAGCAGCTTTGATTATTTAAGGCTAATGTTTAATGTTCAGAGAGATGGGAGTTTTTCCAAGGTCACAAAGTTACTGGGTGGTGGAGCCATGACTCCAGTAGAAGGTCTTCACTAAGTTAAACAATAAAAAATATTTTGACCAATTTTGACCTATAAACTAGATGATTTCATGTGTTCAGCCTTTATCTTAGGGCTCTCTCTATTCTTGAACAGCTATCTCACTTTAGGCTTTCTGTCTATAAATTGATGACTTTGAGCTTGCTGATAGAGAGGGTCTGCAACCAGCTCAAACCTACCACTAAAGAGGAAGAAGCTGATGAGAATCAGAGGCAGGCAGTAGCCTCTCACTCATCAGCCGTCTCTCCTATAAGTATGAGGATACTCTTTAATAATAGCCAATCCTCTCCTCCTCTTGTCCTTGAAAGAAAAAAGTGAAAGTGAAGTCGCTCAGTCGTGTCCAACTCTTTGCGACCCCATGGACTGTAGCCTACCAGGATCCTCAGTCCATGGGATTCCCCAGGCAAGAGTACTGGAGTGGGTTGCCATTTCCTTCTCCAGGGGATCTTCCCTACCCAGGGATCAAACCCGGGTCTCCCGCATTGTAGGCAGACGCTTTACCGTCTGAGCTTAGTATAGTGCATATATTAGATCATTGGTTCTCAGAGCATGAGCTCAGGAACAGCAGCATCAGCATCACCTGGGAACTGATTAGAAGTGCACATTATCTAGCCCCACCCCAAGAGCTACTGAGTCAGGAACTCTGGGGATAGAGCCCAGCAATCTGAGTTAACAAGCACCCTCCAACTGAGTGTGCTGCAGACTACAGTTTGATAATCCCTCTATCACAGTATACTTTGTTGGCCTATACCATTGAGATTAATTGTAGACAGATCCATACTGTGCAAACTCATATATAGGCAAACAATTGCACTTTATGTTTTTAAAGTTATTACCTTTGTCATCTATAAAAGATTTCAAAATGGGTTAATGCTCACTCAGCTGTAGGAGCTGCACCAACCCAGGAGAACCTTTTGGGAGAAAATGAAGGTTAATAATTTTGATCACACAAAAAGCCCCAAAGAATTTCATTTTAACTAGGAAAATCTAGATGATACAGGAATAATAGCACTTGGATTAATTTAAAGGGAGAATTCAAACTTGGCTGGCTAACAGAAAAAAGAGAAGATTGGAATGCTATATTTGTGCCAGTGCTGCTACCGTGAAAAGCTTTGAAAAATAATTAGAAAGCAGCTACTGCCGCAGTTCATCTCTTTCTCCCTTACATAATAAAAACCTTAATCTTGTACTTATGCTTGTTCCTGTCAGCCCGTAATTTTAACTATTTAAGCATAAATTGCCAAAAAGGAGGATGAAATTGTGGGTTTCCAAAAGCCAGATGTTATAAATAGAAGAGATAAAAACTGAGATAAAATGGAAATGCTCAAAAAGGCTTATTTTACATGGAAAATTTATTTCATAGTCTATTTTTTCCATTATTTATGAAAGTATGCTTATACTTTAACCTATCATTATAAACTCTACTCCTTTTTTTTTTAATTTGGAAACTTTTTTGAGGAGTATCTGAAAATACACATAGTATTGGGGAAGAAACTTCATTTATGTTTTTGATCATTTATCGACTTACTGTGTCTCCTAATTAACTGTTATTATTATTTCCCCTGTCTATCTATATTCTGTAACTGTTATATACATATAAGACACAGTGCATTTCATTTCAATCCAGTATATTTATAGAAAATTTTACTTTTCAAGGAAAACTTTTGTTACATCCCAGTTAATTTGCATGTATGCATGCTCACTTGCTAAGTCGTGTCCCACTCTTTGTGACCCCATGGACTATATAGCCCACCAGGCTCGTCTGTCTTTGGGATTTCCCAGACAAGAATACTGGAGTGGGTTGCCATTTCCTTCTCCAAGGCCCAATTAATTTAATTCCTATCATTTATATTTTCTGTGTGTGTCAGAGAGATAGAGAAATAAGTGGTCCATAAAATGTTTCCTGCTTGGAAAATTGACTTTTGTTATGTTAACTTCTTTATATCAAAACAAGTAGGTGTTAAATTGAAGGAGTCTTAGTTTGGACAAAATAGCCCCATTTTCCTTCCTACTAATCTGTATTTGAGTAGGTCTACCAAAGAGTCAGGCACGACTTAGCGGCTGAACAACAAGAACCTTAGACATGTGATACTTTTTCAGAATCTTTTTAAAAATACATGTTCATTTCTCATTCATTTGATAATACTGCTTCTGTCATTGTCTGACATTTGACAAGTCTTTAGAAAAGGTGATTTCTGTGGATATGAAAATAGCCATGCTAACTAAAAGTTAATCACATTGAAGAAAGTAAGAATACATTTGTTTGTATTCTTGTTTTTAGGTTGATTATGTATTTACTGATAAGACCGGAACACTCACTGAAAACAGCATGGAATTCATTGAATGCTGCATAGATGGGCATAAGTATAAAGGTGTAGCTCAGGAGACCGATGGACTATCTCAAACTGATGGACCCTTACCATATTTGGACAGAGCAGATAAGGTGGTATTTTTTGCGTTACCATTTTGCCTTGAGAAATCAATTTAGATAGGCATATGTTAACATAGTAGAAATAAAGGATTTTGGCACGTGACATAGACTTTTGAATAGCCATTTGTTTGTTGTTGCAACTTCACCTTTCTTATTTTATGGATGCCTCTGGAATTTGTAAACAAGTAGAATTTCTAAAAAGAGAACATTGTGAGAAATGGCATTTGGGTAAATCTTTCACTTTCACTGTGTGATCATATTTGGTACTTTATCTTTAAAAACATGAGCTGCTCCGAGAATTATGTCTACTGAAATCATTCAAGCCCCAGGAGTGTCTAGGCACTAAATGAACCAGAGTCTCCATGCACCTGAGCTATTGCTAGATTGTGAATTAAAACTGAATGCACTCTTTTAGGCCATGGAGATGTCACTGCTTTGGGATTAGGTGGCACTGCAGTAAGAATGAGTTAATAGAGCCCCTAAGGTATGTTAGCTGGGGACCAGGCATGTTGGCAGGGATTAGGAGAATATATAGCTCATTTGAGTATTAGGAATTCATAAATTTCTGCTATTCAATTTGCTGGTGGTTATAAATGCTCTCACATTAATAACTTTTCTCTGTTCATTGACTACTTACCAAGTGATCACAGTAAAAAATAATATAGTCATTTTTCTGTTGCTGTTCAACAGAGTCGAGAAGAGCTCTTTCTGCGTGCCTTGTGTTTATGTCACACTGTAGAAGTTAAAACAAATGATACTGTTGATGGAGTTACACAGTCAGCTGAATTAACCTATATGTCGTCTTCACCAGATGAAATAGCTTTGGTCAAAGGAGCTAAAAAGTAAGCATATATGTTATGCTGGATGAATAATTTCTGGATAATAATAACGTTCTGCCTGTAGTTAACAATATGGTATTCTCACTTCAAAGTTTGTTAAAAGAGTAGATCTCATATGTTAAATGTTCTTATTACCCAAAACAACAAAAAAGCAAAAAGACACAAAGAAACTGAGAAATGTCAGGATATCTCTTCCCTTGATTGTGATGATGATGTCACAGACATACGCATGTTTCCAAAGTCATCCAGTTGCGCAAATTAAATATTCGCAGTTCTCCATTAGTTATACCTCAGTAAGTAATGCTGTGTTAAAACCCAAAAATAAGTTGTAGAAAAATACATTAGCATTTTCAAGAGTAAAAAAAATCAAACATTTCTTGTATTTCTCCTAAGAAAGTAAAATCACAGGACAGGCATTATTTTGGTTTTTCTCTTATTTGCTTCAATAACCTTATCTTACAGGTATCCTTATTCTTTAATAAGGAGCCAAGCTACTTTATTGAAAAGTTGGAAAAAATTCCCAAACCTAACCAATTAAGACCAAAGAGAAAATAGCAATGCATAGTTGTAACTTTCATCACTATTTATGCATTCCAGCCTGAAGTCCAAATGTTCACATTATATTTTGGAAATCTTCTAACAATGGTCACTTTTCATATAATACATGTTATTTCTGAATTACTCCCAGCAATTTTGATATCATTTGGTTATTGAAAGTCCTACTTTATCCATGAGGCCCAAGATGATTAAGTGGATAAAAGGTCACCCCATGTGTTAGCTACAGAATTGAAATTACAAATCGCCTCTTTTTTTGGTTATGATTTGTGACTGGGCATTGACATGGTCTGTGTTATATCTCAGCAAGTAAAAGGAAGTACAGCTATAGATTGGGGTTTTATGAAAGAGAAGAAAACAATAAACAAGTATGAATAACCCCAGTGCAAAGGGAAATTCATCATTCTTTAAAAATACACAACAGTCTTTTTTATTTTGTTTCACAGGTATGGGTTCACATTTGTAGGAGTTCAGAATGGCTATATGAGAGTAGAGAACCAAAGAAAAGAAATAGAAGAGTAAGTAGCTCTGTATGTTTGGTGATTTTCATTTCTTAACTCCACAGTCAGCTTTAGATGGATTTAGCAAGGGCAGCAAAGGGAAGTGATTGCATCTATAAAGACTCTGCTCTCCCAGGTAAAAGTTTTATATAAATGTAGCTGGAGTAGAAGACATTTTTCATAGAGTGGCAGAAATTAGCATTTGAAATGTAAATGATTCCAGTTTTGTTCACACATCAATCCAGTAGCCTGAATGAGCGTCTGCCTGGACTTTTCTGAATTTTAGACGCCATTTCAGGTCTCCAGCACATGCTGCAAGAAAAATCAGTGAACATGTATGAAACCTTCTGCTGTCTAGAACCTAACTAATCATTCTGGGATTACACACCCTGCCAGTCATAACAGCTTTGGTGTCAGAAACTTTCTCTTGTTCTAGATGCTTGACTGTGAGCCCCAGGGCAAGTACTCTGATGCAGTAGTATGCTCCACATTTCCTTTTTTTTTGCTACAGAGATCCCAACAAACAAATCCACCTTGCCTTAATAACAGGTTTTAATTAGGCCCTCTGATTAATTTTATATCCTTTATAAGAACTTGAAATATAATTATCTGACTTTCATTCTGACTCCTAGCATCTCCTGAGACTCATCTCAGAAACCTGTAACACATGTAGATTTGCTAGAGAATATGCCTCTTTGGAAAGGAATGTTCAAGAGCCAGAGGAACCCAGAGGAAGACTCTTTGGCCTGACTGCCAGGAAGGAGCCCAGAGTTACTGTTAAAATCGAGATTCTAGCTGGTTCACAACAGTGCCCCCATCTGGCCAATAGCAAATGAGACATTATGCTACAAGTAGATGTCTTACACACATATCCTATATCCCCAAACCAGTGACCTGCTCACTCCCATCAAAGACAAGCTTGGTAGTAAATACATTTAAATCAGATACTTGTATATAAGTTATTTATTTTCAAGAAACTATTTCCTCACATTTTCTCAAATAAGTCTTATTTTTCTTCTTCATTTCATCTACTGTATAGCTTAGCCAGTGCAACACAGAGCTGATCATGTCATTCCACTGTTTATACCCTTCAATGGATTACTGTTGCCCTTGGGATGAAATCCCAAGTATCTGCAATGGCCCACAGTGTTGTCAGGTCCTAACCCCTGCCTACCTCTCTTGCTGCTCGCCTATCAAGTAGATGTCAGCCTTATGTGGACTACTGTCAGTCCCGCCATGGGCCATGTGCTCTCATGTTGCTCTGCCTTTGCACATGCTCTTCTCTATACTCAGAGTGCTATGATATCCTTTCTCCATCATGTCACTGCTGCAAGACACAGCTCAGGCAAAACCTCCTCCAGGAGGCCTTCCTTCTGTGCTCCTACATCTCCTTGTGTGTTCCTTTACTTCAGTATTTGGAAGACAAGGAGGTAGTCATTTCATTAACCTCTGCCTCCCTTATCATGGGCTTTCCTGGTAGTTCAGATGGTAACGAGTCTGTCTGCAATGCAGGAGACCTGGGTCTGATCCCTGGGTCAGGAAGATCCCCTAGCAGAGGGCATGGCAACTCACTCCAGTATTTGTGCCTGGAGAATTCATGGACACAGGAGCCTGGTGGGCTACGGATAAGGTCGTAAAGAGTCTAACACAACTGAGCAATCAACTCACACCCACACACACTTATCATATGATAAGCCCCTTAAGAGAAGATTCATGTCTCTTCTCCAGCATCTGGCACTGTGCCCAACACATAGTAGGCATTCCGTAGATGATTAAAATAAAGTGGCAGGATGGGACTATTTCTAGATAGCCTCTAGATATGGCTTGGTGGGACAGCTCTTTGTACCTCATTCCTATGCAGTCACTCTCCCCTTACTATTTTAAGTCATATAATGAGAAAATATAGATACCCCTTAACCACCGCTGGTATCCCCTGACAGCATGTTCCAAGTGCAGAGAAATTCCAAAAACACAATGAAAAGTACCCTTTGTGCACACAAGCAGCAACCCTTAATCCAAGAGGAAAGCTCTGTTAATGTAAGATGTTTCTGCTGTGTTTTATTTTTCCCAGTGTGGTCTTGGTATTTCACTTTTCTCACTTTTTTTTTTCTATTAAAGGTATGAACTTCTTCACACCTTAAACTTTGATGCTGTCCGCCGTCGTATGAGTGTAATTGTGAAGACTCATTCAGGTATGCATATTTAAGACTTGACTTTTTCTGTCTTTCCATTTGTAGATTTGTTGATCAACTACTTCAAGAGAGAAAAACATTTCATGTAGTAGTGTTTTATTACTTAAAGTCATGCAGAGCTCTTGTATATCCCTGCATGTATTTATATAAGCACATGTTCAGCTTGTCAGTTATCAGTGGCAGAACCCCTAGTATGACAATATATGAATTTTCTTGGAAAGTGAGCTCCACTTCTCAGTCTTGGATATCCAAACAGGAACAGAAAGGGTGACATTTTACAGTTCAGGGTACTGACCAATCACCACCAGTGTCTACCTGTGGCAGCCCACTACAACCACATGGTTTGAGATTACTAGCGGTAGTTTTTGAGTGTAGAGAGTTGCTGGTTCTCCTTCCCTGACCATCCTAACTCCCCACTGCTTTACACTTTCTGGGAGCAGGTGAGCCAGAGATGACCAAGGCCCGACTGCTGGGAAAGGGCACGTGATTTACCCTAGCACCCTGGGCTCTTTGTCTCACACAATAAAGAAACTTGCCCTTTTCAGGGGAACCAGTGCCATCCTTTCAGGGTTCACCCATGTTCTTAGGAGAAGCCGTGGTGGCTGTGATGCCTTCTGCTCAGATTCAGCAATACCCATGGGGTAGCATTGCTGCTTCATTTTTGGGCTCGGATTCCTCTGTGTAAGTGTGTCTCTGTATGTATGTCTCTGGGTGGTTTTTCAAAATATCTTTGATTTATTTCCTATTAATTAACTTTTTAGGATTAAATCTGTTGAAAATTTCTTAATATGAAAATGAGAAGATATAGATAGACCCTTGAGGGAATATGTCCATCTTTATTCATACTTTGTGGTGTGACTGCAAAGTTACAATGTTGATTTCATTATATGTGAATGTGGAATTTGTTCTATGACTTTTAAACACACCATGGATATGCGAGAGAAATTTCTTTTAATATTTATTTATTTATTTGGCTGCATGAGGTCTTAGTTGCAGCATGCAGGCTCTTCGTTGTGGCGTGTGGGCTTAGTTGCTCCATGGCATATGGGATCTTAATTTCCAGACCAGGGATTGAATCTGCATCCCCTGCATTGGAAGGCAGATTCTAAACCACTTGATCACCAGTGAGGTCCCTGTGAGAGAATTTTTTTAAAAAAAAAAAAACACCTAACGTGTGGAATTCTTCTGTTCTTACCTGTACCCATGCATGTCTGCATTCTATTGCAGATAGTGAGATGTCTGAGGAAGTAGTCTCCCAAAGGCCTTGACCTCAGAGCTACCGTTTTTTAACTTCTTGAACTTAGCACTTTGCCTTATAAGGTTGGAATCTCTTTCTTAAAGGTCAACTATCTATGCTCCTGGGTACACAGACTGGTATAAAGCTATATTAATAATAGCATTCTACAGAGCAATTCTCCAGTTTCCAGTGAAAACCGACAAGCTACTGCTAAAAGCTAACATGTATAGGCTTTGAAAATGATTTTTTCTTGTTTGAGCCTGAGTTTGCTCCTTGACATCTATAGATGCTACATGTGACTTTTAGATCATGGTTGACAGCATCCTCATAGTGAATTCAGATGCAGCTCCTTGACACAAGTGATTCATTTATAAGGTATATATTTTAACAGAGGTGCATACTGTAAACTCTGGGGTATTAGTTGTGTCCTTACTGGTCCTCAGAGGTGGTGGATGTTGTCCTGACAGAGTGAAGGTCAAGATGTCTGCTTCCAGTTGGGTAAACATTCCAAGGCAGTCCTAGGATACACAGCTTCTGGGAGGGAGAAGCGACCGTAATAGTTACCTGTTATGAAAATCCCAATTCCAGTCTAACTCTAAGTAAGTCAAGTACTCTGATTCTTTATTTTAGGAGACATACTTCTCTTTTGTAAAGGAGCCGACTCAGCAGTTTTCCCCAGGGTGCAAAATCATGAAATCGAGTTAATTAAAGTCCATGTGGAACATAATGCAATGGTGAGCCTGCACCCCTGCCCTCAATAGAGAGAAGGAGAAATGCTAGAGATGATTATGTCTATGGATTGATATATAAAGGACAATTTAAATGAATTTTAGCTTATTTTGATGGTCTATTTTTGTATTGGGGGATTTTATAATATTATTTTCCTTATTTTAATATAAAACATCCTGGAGCAAGTTTCTGTTCAGAATTTGCAGCCTTTAAAGACTTTTCAAGAATCTTTGTTTTATGTTCTGCTTTTGTGTTTTTTTAAACCCAAGAGGTATTATTTTGTTATTCTGAACCCAACTGAATGTTAACCTAATACAATCTGTTTTTTCTCCCTTTTTTAACTGAAAAGGAAATTAGTCAGAATTTCTTTTTTTTTTTGTTTGATAAAGCAAGAGTATTTAAAGAGTGTATTTTGTTTGTTTTTATTTGTTATTTGGATAACTAGAGATCTCCTACTTTGCTTCTAGGAGGGGTATCGGACACTTTGTGTAGCCTTCAAAGAAATTTCTCCAGATGATTATGAAAGAGTTAACAGACAGCTCATAGAGGCAAAAATGGCCTTACAAGACAGAGAAGAAAAAATGGAAAAGGTTTTCGATGAGATTGAGACAGACATGCATTTAATTGGAGCCACTGCAGTGGAAGACAAGTAACTAGAAAATGATACTCTTGTTATTTTAATGACCAATCATTTAGAGTAGTATCTGTCCAGATTGGTTATTTATTCTCAAGCTTTGAAATCTTTGATTTAGCTTTGTCTATACACCAGGTTTTGAACTGTTTGTGGAAATAATTTTTGAGTTAAGTATTTGTGACTTAGAAGAATATGAATCTGTCATCTCGAAGGTCTTTTGAGTACTTCCTAAGCCATCCCTTCATTTATACAGAAATTTATGAAGTAGTCTTACTATGTGTAGGAAGTTTTGTGCTAGAGGTATCATTCAGTTGGTGTTTGGTGGAATGGATATGATTTTGACAGACATATGAGCAGAAGGGAAATTCAAGGTAGAGCAAGCAACATGAGAACTCATTGTAACCTGGTTTAACAGACTAGAGCACATTTTAAAAATAATTGGCTCTGCCGGACATGATTATAGGGCTCCAAAATTGATCTGCTTGAAAAAATATGTTTTAGATTCTATTGGGGGGTTTTCTAGAAGTAATGAATGCAAATTATCAGGCTTAACCTAAATACGAAGTTATAAACATAGATTCAGCTATGTTGGAAGGTTCTAATAGAATTCATACAGTCTAATTTCACTGTTGGGCTTCCCTGGTGGCTCAGTGGTAAAGAATCGGCCTGCCAATGCAGGAGATGCAGGTTCAGTCCCTGGGTCAGGAAGATCCCCTGGAGGAGGACATGGCAACCCACTCCAGTATTCTTGCATGGGAAATCCCATGGACAGAGGAGCCTGGTTGGCTACAGTCCATAGGGTCACAAAGAGTCAGACCAGCTTGCCAACTAAACAACAATTTCATTGTTATTCTCTGGCCAGAAGGAATACGAAGTATCCTTCTTCTGTCCTTCCCTTTCAGAATTATGCTTAAATTGTGTTTCAGAATGTTTGGCTTTCAAGGTCCTCAGGGATGGGAATTTGCTGACTTCTCTCAGTATCTCATTAGGATGTGTCAGGCCCTTTCAGTTTTGAACCACATTAAGTATTTGTAGACAACATAATGAAATATGCTAAAGTGACAATGAGTAATACCATTTGGTGAGATTCTGAACATTTTAGCTAAGAGTGATGATTCTTATTTCTGTCATTAGATACCAGTTACCTCAAGAGAGGTCATGAACTTTCAAAACCTCATTGTCTGAAATGTACTTTAATAAGTAAAATTATGACGACAAGGATATGCTTAGAAAGGGTAGAGGATATATAAGAAAAGTAACTGTTAAAACATGTCAAGATTCCAAAATTGCCATGAATTATAAGAATATTCTCTTTAACAAGCCTTCTTGCAGAATCTGTGTCAGGAATTTTCAAAGATAACAAAGTTTCCTTTGTGTTCCCAGGCTACAGGATCAAGCCGCTGAGACCATTGAAGCCCTGCATGCCGCAGGTCTAAAAGTCTGGGTGCTTACTGGCGACAAGATGGAGACTGCAAAATCCACCTGCTATGCCTGCCGCCTTTTCCAAACCAACACCGAACTCTTGGAACTGACCACCAAGACTGTTGAAGAAAGCGAAAGGAAAGAGGATCGATTACATGAGTTGTTGACTGAATATCGTAAGAAGCTGCTGCGTGAATTTCCTAAAAGTACTAGAAGCCTTAAAAAGTAAGAAAGTGCATCAGTTTGTATATTTAGGCCTTGGTACAGATGTAAACCACAGCTACTTATGCAGAAGGCTCTGTTTTCTCTAATTTATCATTGGTTGGTTGTAGGTGGTTTATCCCTGAGTTAGAACCTTCCCTGAGGACTTAGCTAGTGGCCTATTTGAGATTATTTGGCACTTTCTACCTCATGTTTCTTTTTTTAAAAAACCTACACTTCTTGAGCTTTAGAAAAGTGGTTCATTTTCTAAATATTTAGGGTCTGGGTATTTAGCATTGATATCCTGGCCTGGTCCATGTTAAGAAAAAATATCCCTTTTCATGGTCTCTTAAATTGAATGTAATAAAGTCAGTCTCTGTAACAGTTTCTGTGCAGGTTGAGGTCCTGGAGCCATTTTCTATGTGAATTTTTATGCTTCACAGGAGACCAAACACTTGATAGCATAGCCACTCGACTGCTTTCAACAAGCTGCTTAGGAAGAACTTGTAGAACCTAGGGTTCTCAAGGAAAGGCACTGATCCACAGTAATTCAGTACCCAGAGATACATTGACCATGGCTTAGGTTTGTCTAAACCAATTACTGGAGTTTACCTTGGCCATAAGCAAATCGATTTCCTCTTCTAAATCCAAAGACCCCTAGGTAATACTATTTCACATTTCTTAAGCACACTCTTTATTCCAGGAACAGCATTAAGCACTTTAAATTATTCTCATTTAATCTTCACAACAACCCAGTAACAACTAATTTTCTTCATGTTAAAAATAGGGAAACTAAGGCTCAGAGAGATGAAGTGACTTATTCGAGGTAACACAGCTAATAAGATGTAGAACAGGTCTATCCAATTCTAGAGCCTATACTTTTAACAACTCAGCTGTATCTGTGTCCTCATCTCTAGGGTTTAAACAGGCTTTAAAAATGAACAACCCACATTCATGAGATGATGTCCAATTTTAAAACAGCTGTTGTTCTTCTGTTACTTGGACATGAGTGAGAGTAAACAGGTTTTTATTAATTGTCTGTGATAAATGTTTCCTTCCTTTAGCCAAATGGTACTTATAAAGGCAGTCCAGATTACATGTGTTTTACTTGTGCATTTATCTTAATCTGCTCAGGCCATCATGACAAAATACCACAGAGAGGGTGGCTTAAACAATGGAAACTTCTTGCATTTCTGAAGGCCAGAAGTCTGGGATCAGGGTGCCAATATGGCTGACTTCTGGTGAGGTTCCCCCTGCCTGACTTGTAGAAAGTGGGCTGTATCCTTTCTTGGCTGAGAGAGAGGAAGCTCTGATGTCTCTTCCCTTCTTATAAGGATATTGATCCTCATCATGAGGGCCTCATGATGTCTAGACTTCATCTAGACCTATCTATCTCATTTCCAAATACCCTCACCTTGAGGGTTAGGGATCCAACATGGGACTTCATGGGAGACAGTTAAATCCACAGCACCATTCAGTTGTGTAAAAGCCAGGGCTTATGGAAAATTGAATTCACCATCTCAAACATTTCTTCTTCCTCATTCATCTGCAGTTGGGTGAAGTCTTTCCCCAAGTTACACAAGCATGAGACACAGAATCCCTTTGGCCAGCTTCTGCTCCTTTGTCTCTTCCATTGCAAATCCGCCCCCAAGCCCTACCCATGTTCCCGCTCTCTCCACTGGGGCTCCTTTATCAGATTCCTAGTAATTTGTGCCTCAAAGCACTTAAGCCCCTCTACCCAATGACTGGTCCTTAGATGTAAAGCACTGCACATATCATCACCCTGCTCAGAAACCTTTAGTGTGTCTCCATTACCCACAAAATTAGGTCATACCAAAGACCCCAGGTGACCTTTTCAACTTATTTTCCTAGTATACCACACATACTGGAGAAATGGCAATCCATTCCAGTATTCTTGCCTTGGGAAATCCCATGGACAGAGGAGCCTGGCGGGCTACAGTCCATGGAGTCGCAAAGAGTCGGACACAACTAAAGCAGCTTAACACACATACCACACATACGTTCTCTCTTTCTTCACCTCTTTCTGTCCTTTCAAGTTCCATTTCAGATGTCATACCTCATAAAGAACCCACTGTTCTTTCCTGGTCTGTATTTATTCTCCCAATCACTGGATATTAACCTTTTTAAAAATTATTTTATTTTATATTGGAGTACAGTTGATTAACAGTATTGTGTTAGCTTCAGGTGTATAGCTAAGTGATTCAGTTATATATGTTTCTATTCTTTTCAGATGTTAACCATTTATCATGTTTAGTGGGGCATCTTCTCTCATGTGTGCGTCTTTCACCCCAAGGAGATTTTCTAGTCTCCAGAAAAAGCTTAGTTAACAGTTCTTTCCGTTCTTCTATATGGCTTAGTTAGAGTTGATTTATACAGATATTGCTTGATTGATTACTGAGCCACTGTTTTCTGCACATTGTTAGCGCTGTGAGTAGGGGAGCAAAGGAATGCATGATTGATATCTCTTTAATTAATGAAAAAACATGCTCATAATAGTATGAAGCAAAATATGGAAGGAAGGAATGATGAGGCATATTAGACTCTCACTACTCATAGTCTGTAAAACAGCAGCTCTTTAAACAGTAAACTTTCAGAAGCATAATATTAGACGAATGAATCTGTAATGATGAGACCCTGCTGTGTTTAACACTTCTGCAGCGATTCTCAAATGGCACCCAAGATTGCCTGAACAGAAATTCATTAATTGCTGGTTTTTTCATAATTGCAAAAAAATGAAATGTTAATTGGTAGCATTTTTTCAGTTGTAAGTTTTCCCTCCATATGGTTTTCTTAAATAGTTGGCACCCATTATATTTGTCTTTCCTGGCAACTAATACTGCTCAGTCCTGGCTATGCATGCAAATAACCTATGGAGCCTTTTAAAACACACCTATATATTGGGTTGCCCAAAATGTCCAATTGGGTTTTTACATGTTATGAATGAACCTATTCTGGAAAAACCCAGGTGAACTTTTTGGCCAACCCAGTCTAGCCAAGCTCTGTCCAAGATACTCAGATTTAATATGTCTATGGATAAACCTAAGACATGGGCTTTTTAAAAAGCTGCCCAAGTGATTCGAATGGGAAAGCTATGGTTAAAAATCACTAATCTAGTATAAAATTATACTTATTTAAAGAACATAAATCATTGTATGGAATTCTTTAATGAACACTTTGTCTTTTTGGTAGTCTGTCATATTTGAGAAGCCAGATCTATTGATAGGTTTTGTCAGTCAGGCAAAAATGTTAAGAATATCTTCTGTGATTTGTATACCCCAAAGCCATTTTGTCTTTTCCCTGCATCGTTCAGTTTTCAGATTGACTAATGATTTGTCTTCACATCAGAGTTTTACTGATTGAACTGTTATTTCCAAAATTCATCTTGAGTTTCTTATATGGAGACTGGCTGCTAGATTTTCATTATTTTTATATTTAGAACTTAGTGACATCTATCTGGGCAACTTGAGCCTCAAAGATGTGATAGAAAGTCTCTATTATGCCATTAATAGAAATGGTTGCTTCTTCAGAATTCACAGGTCCAGGAACCAGATTGATGATAAGTCTGCTTTTTGTGGTTTTTTCAAGTTCCTAAAAAGTAATGTATAGTAGATTCAAATATATTTGCATTATTTTTCTTTTTCAGAGCGTGGACAGAACATCAGGAATATGGATTAATCATTGATGGCTCCACTCTGTCTCTCATATTAAACTCTAGTCAAGACTCCGGTTCTAACAATTACAAAAGCATTTTCCTACAGATCTGCATGAAGTGCACAGCAGTGCTGTGCTGTCGCATGGCCCCATTACAGAAAGCCCAGGTAACTGGATATTAGTTGATGTTCTATTCTGGCTACTTCTGTACACATAGATACAAATGATCACTTTTAATTCTCTTCAAAGGGCCCCAAGTACCTTATTATATCTTTCCTGGCCTCTTCCTCTGTGTGGTCCAACTCAGGAGCCTTCCCACCAATTTGAATTAAACCTGTGCTTCACCTTGCTGTCCCCTCAAGCTGGCTGTCCAGTTGCTCACCTTCCAAACTTTCCTAATGAGTACTTGGTGCCTGTTGCCTTCATCCCACTATTCCTGGCTCCACTGTTCCATTAGCTCCATGCATACTTTCTTCCCATCTTACTCTGTAGGATCTCTTGGAGGAGAGCAGCAAACTCCTTGCTGAATCCATTGCACTGTCTTCCATTTTCTCCTCCTTTCTCCACTGCAGTTGACACTGCAATTATATCCCTGTTTAAACTCTCCTCCCTTGGTTTCTGTGATAGTCCACGGTCCTCTTTTTTTTCCATCTTGGCAACATGGTGTTTTTTTTGTTTCACCCTCGGTCTTCTCCCTGATTATCAGGTTTTCCTGGGGCGGTGTCTTCCATCTGCTTTTCACTTACATCCTATCTTTGGATAAGCACATCCTTTTCTATGACTCTGACTGGCTTGTCCTTTTTGTTAAGTCACATATTTCTAGCTGCCTGCTAGACGGCTCTATGTGGACTCCCTCTGTTAACATTAAATTCTAGTATCCAAGACAGAGATTATAATTTTCTCCTTCAGGCCAGTTTGGGTTATCCTTTTTCTTTGTTATTCCTGTCACCAGTGACATTTTTCTTTTGCTCCCCAAGTCTCCAAATTGCCTTTGACCCTTTTCTTCTCACTCATTCCATATAATCACCATGTCCTGTTCTTCCTACCTTTTGTCATAGCTCTCATTTTGGTGCCATCTTCTTAAACCTTTTATCTCCATCCTAGTGCAAGCAAGCCCTTAGGGCTTTATACACAGAATGTTTGATTTAATCTTACTAATCCCTTGCTTTCGCCCTTCCCCCTTCCATCTCTTTCCCCATACTCCCAAATTAATCTTGTTAAAACTGTACTTCTCCCATCATATATTCTCCCTTAGAACCTTTCAGTAGTTTCCTGGTCCCTTAGGATGAAGGGCAGATGACTCAGTATGGCAGTCAGGGCCACCCCAGTCTACCCTTTCCATGTGTCTGTACACACTTTGAGTCCACCATCACTCCCACATCCAGCGTGAATCCTCCACTCCTACTGGTTGTTCCCCTTTTGTGTTCCTTCCCATGTGCCATGCTCACGCCAACTTCCAGGACTTCCCTCATATAATTTCCTCATCTGGAATTGTCTCTGAATTCCTCTTGACCTAACAAAAATTGTGTTCCTAACAAAACCCAATGCAGAGGCCACCCCCCATGTGCTGTCTTTTCCAGCTCCCCCAGCTTGCATTGGTCTGCTTCACCTTGCTTCCTTGTACTCACTGCATCTCTGGAACCTTAGAGTGTCAGGTACACAACTTTTCACTTCTGTGTACACTGTATTCTTTTATATGCATTGGTCTTGCTTCTTCCCATCTCTCAGCTGCTTGCTCTAGACCCAGGGGCTGGCGCTGTGTCTTTGGCTTCTCCTTCACAGACTCCGCTCCCTACCTTGCACAGGCATGTGCATACACCCAGCCCATCCTAATTGAGGCAATCATCTCTCCCTACCTTCTCACGTTCAGCTTCTACTGCAATCATATGCTCTTCTTTTCTTCAAGCTTCAAAGCCTCTGTTAGCCCCAGCTGGGGAAGCAGATCCTATCAGAACAATATCCATAGAAATCTGTCCCTCTAATCAAAGGCAATACCTCTTTCCTTTTTATTTTCCCCCCACATTCATTGTCTGCTGCTCAGATTGGTCACCTGGGTTCTGACTGCTCCACTGCCCAGGCCAGTATCTGAATTCCTAACACGATGCTGCTTCTCCCACCCAGAACATGGAGCCCCCCCAGGGTTCAGTCCTTAGTCTCTTTTATTTCTCTCACTATCATCACCTCTTCCAGAATATCACCTACCATCTACTATCACCCACTCATAGGTGTTTTTCAAATCACTTCTTCAATCCCAGTCTTTGGAGTTCTACTTTATTTCTCCAGTTGCTTACTGAATACATTTTCTTGGGTGTGTCATTATCACCTCAATTCAACCTTCTCTGGAGTCCAGTTGTCATTTTCATTGTCTTTTTTTACAAGTGTTGCTGAGCTCACTGTACTTCTAGATCTGTATATTGATGTCCCCTATGCTTTACCCTTCCATGTGCTCTCAGTCACCAAATTCTGCCCATTTTCTAGTACGCTGTCTTTTCCATCTCTCTCCATTACCTTCCAGGTCCAGGACTTTAACAGCTCATTGAACTCCATGTCGACTAACTTCTCTCTCAGCCTGCAGTCTAGCCTTTTCTTCTCATTTCTCCTTTCTCCTGCACCCTGTTACCACTTTTATAATATGGCCCCATATTATATTATCTACCTGTCCATGTCCCCTTTATGAAAACTCAATTGGTCTGGTCAAATCAGACCCGTTTTCTGAGCATATATTGGACTTAATTGTCAGTATGCCTTAGATTGTGCTCTTCCCTTTCCCTGGAATACTCCTCCAAACCCTTTTCCCCATCCATGCACATCTTACCAGTCCTTTATGGTTTAAATCAACCCATGCTTCCTTCTGTAAAATCGTTTTTCATCACTCTGGCCTGTAGTGTCCTCTCCCTTCTCTGACATCATAAGCCTTCTTATGTGGACAACTTAGATGACAGTGTTATATATTCTCTTGCATATTGAGTATTATTATCTTTTGTTGTTAATCTGCTTCTCTGATGTTATTGTATCCATTCCCCATTATATGCTTCCTGAGGTGTGTGACCAAGCCACATATCCTTTTTGGGTATTTGCACTTCACTTTTGCACATTGTGTTACATGTAGTTATAGTAGATCAATAAATACTTTCTGGTAAATTGATTTCTTTTTTTGTGAGGCTATCTAGAGATTGAAGAGTTCTTAATCTCAGTGACCTGGAACTTCTGAAAAAAAAAAACTCGATGTTTATCTATCTAGATCTTTCATGGTTTTATGGTCCATAGCAATATATCCTTTTATCTTTCTGCAATGACTGGCTTTCACCTTTTTAATCTATATTTGCATGCAGAAGCTGTCACCCTTGATAATTTTATTGCCTTCCCTAGACCTTTCCTGACTGCATTTTTCTTCTTTTAGGTCATAACTACATACAGTATAATAGTGCAATTAGTTAAACCAGTAATGTAGCCCATTAAAAACAAATTTACTTTTGTCTTTGACTCACTGATTATTTCTGACACTCAAAGTTTTTAAAAAGAACCAAGTTGAGGTGAAGGATTGGGGAAAACCTGGCATTTCCTAGTAACATCATTTTTGTGTCAAATGGATTAGACGTCAGGTTTTTTTGGTATGCAATTTAATATAACTAAAACCTGACTGAATTTTGTTTAAAGAAAAGACTGCAGGGTGGTTTTGCCTCATATAAATTATTTTTAATCATTTCAGTTATGTGGGAATGGATTTTATTTATGTTACCTGGTGAAAGCCTTTGAGAGTACAAAATTTTTGCAAGACATTATTTAACTACTGATTTACATAAGCTGTTTAAAAGCTGCTAGATTCCAAGGGGTTTTGAGGGTTGACACATAAAGCAGTAATTGGTAGGAGGACAGCCACTTACCCAATATTCTTCCCGCAGTAACTCTGCCAGGAGAAGGTTTCTTTTATTCAGTACCTACCATGAACAAAGCGTTGAGCTGCACTGTGCCATCAACATATCTTTAAGAGACACTCAGGGAATGATGATGCTTTATACACATCTCAGACATCTTTCTGCAAAGGTCATCACCTTTAGGGTGCCCCCTTTTAAAATGCAGCTACCTGTATGAGAGATCAAATCATATTGAGCACTCATAAAGATTTGGTAAAGTTTAGTCAGCAGCTAGATGGAAATAAGGGTTGGGGTGCACCCAGGGGTGGTTGGAGTGTCAGCGGGGAGGAGAGAGGAAGAGGTGACCAAAATCATTATCCTCTCACTGCCCACTTTTGTCCTGGTAGCCCCATGCACATTACCCCATATCAGCTCTCCGGTCTCCACTTTCCCTCCTTCACTACCTGATCTGAAAGGACATGTGAAGCAGTGACAAGAGGGGATGCGTGCTGCTCTCTAATGTGGATAGAAGGCATGGATTAGACAGTTCATCCATTAGCAAAACCAGAAACAAGTAGGCACTGGTGTTAAGTTTTGAAAAGCTGTGTTGTTCTCCCCTGAGAATTCGACACTATTATATGCACAGACCACCTTTCTGTTTGCAAGGCCTCCATTTACAAGTGTGAATGAGGCAAATACCCCCATGGAGTACAAGCTCACATTCTGCTTTGACCTTTTCTATACCTCTCTTGTATTTAACGTTTAGATTGTAAGAATGGTGAAGAATTTAAAAGGCAGCCCAATCACACTGTCGATAGGTGATGGTGCCAATGATGTTAGCATGATCTTGGAATCCCATGTGGGCATAGGTAAGAAACATCTAATGAGATGGCAGCTGTAAGGTATCAGTATTGCTTTTAGGTAGAGTGGTCTTATTATTCTAGAGATTGTTTTGGTTGCTCATCTTGAATTTGAATTTGGGAATGATCATTGTTAATCAAATGAAGGTTCTCCTCTGATCATGGAATATGCCCATGCATAAGTCCTACCCCTGGTGGAAAGGTAGCAATACCAGGCTGGAGGATATTATTTTATTAGCCAAATAAACCAAATTTCTGAAACCTCCTGGCCGCGTGATCGATCATTTAGCTCTCATTTTTGCCAGCATGCAGGAAATTGTATTGATTTTTCACCACTGGCCAGATCGCCTGCTTATGTTGTTGCACTGTATCTTTTGAGGTCCTTAACTGTTTGGAACTCAGAAATGATAACTGGCTGGCTGATTTTCCTCATGCCGATATTTATGCATGGTCATTTGGGCTATAGTGGTGAATTTACATGTTGGCATGCAACAGCATCTTCTCTATGACTTCACCATTTTCCCCCCTGTTAGCTTGCTGGGAGACAGCAATCCTAACACCCCAGCATTTTTTGGAGGGGGAAAAATAATAGCATTATTAGTATTTTGGGGATTATTGTAATGCAGTTTGGATTCCCAAATTCTTTCCATTTGGAAGTAACCCTGTTTACTGTGGAATTCTAGTTCGACTCATGGGCTATTGACCAGAAATGACCTGAAGCCACTTGAGCTCATGAGCTGCCACTCAGCCTTGCAGGACATTTGATCTTGTCTAAAATGTCCACAGTGCATTTTATCCATGCCAAAAGGTCCTTGAAATTCTGTTGTTTAGTCTCTAAGTCGTGTATGACTCTTTTGTGACCATAGGGACCATAGCCTGCCAGGCTTCTCTGTCCATGGGATTCTCCAGGCAAGAATACTGGAGTGGGTTGCCATGCCCTCCTCCAGGGGATCTCCCCTTCCCTCCAGGGGTCGAACCCGCATCTCCTGTATTGGCAAGTGGATTCTTTACCACAGAGCCGTCTGAGAAGCCCCCTTGAAATTTGGTGCTGTCCAGAACTATTTGGTGTGGACCAAGTATGCTCAGGGGCATTTTGGACAAGAGCAAATTTTGAGGCTCTTTGGTGTGAGCCAGCTGCTTTATGGACAGGACTAAGTGTTAGCTAACCACTGCTCAGAGTATCATTCGGTATGAGGACTTAACCATCTCATTACAACTCTTCAGTTTTGATCTCTTAAACCATAAACCCCAGGTCTCTGAGTTGCTTTAATATAGCACCTAGTCTGGTGTGGTGTATAATTAATCACTTACCAAGTACCTTCAAAAATATCTTCAATATTTTTGAGATTAAATTTTTTCCTCAGTATAATTTTTGCCTTATGATTAAAATAATGATTTCATTAATTGTTTTATGTTTTGTTATAAATAGGTAATTGCCAATTAAACAATTTTACTTTTTATTGATAAATCTCACTGATAAAAAGCACTTTTTGCTTAAGAAAACAAAGCTAAATTATTCAATTGGACTGTACTTGTAAGCAAGAAAAACATGGAAGTAACAGATGAGGTGGTTAATTACTCTATAAAAATACTCACCCTATAGAGATTGTCTTTTTTTAGGTATTAAAGGCAAAGAAGGTCGCCAAGCATCCAGGAATAGCGATTATTCGGTCCCAAAGTTTAAACATTTAAAGAAACTGCTGTTGGCTCATGGACATCTATATTATGTGAGAATAGCACACCTGGTACAGTATTTCTTCTATAAGGTATGTGATAAAATATTTGTAATTTATGAGAGTTTTAACACAGCGTTGACTTGGCTTGGTTGTAGGTTTATTTTTGTTCTTTTTTCATATTTGTTTTAGTGTCTTAGCCCTGAAATTTGTGGTCAGTAAAACAGAGGCGGTCTATTTAATGAATCAGAAACCAGAAATTCCCCTTAATGAAAGAGATTTGAGATGAAAAATTTTAAGTGAACTTTCTTAAAGTATAGTTTAAATACAGTACAGTGTACCCGTAAAACGGAGAAGGCAGTGGCACCCGACTCCAGTACTCTTGCCTGGAAAATCCCATGGATGGAGGAGCTTGGTAGGCTGCAGTCCATGGGGTCGCTAAGAGTTGGACATGACTGAGCGACTTCACATTCATTTTTCAGTTTCATGCATTGGAGAAGGAAATGGCAACCCACTCCAGTATTCTTGCCTGGAGAATCCCAGGGACGGGGGAGCCTGGTGGGCTGCCGTCTATGGGGTCGCATAGAGTCGGACACGACTGAAGTGACTTAGCAGTAGCAGTAGCAGTACCCATTAAATGTTTATAGCTTGATTTTGACAAATGTTTACGTCCATGTAACTACCACCAGAATCAAATATTGACCATCTGTACCACCCCAGAAAGTTCCCTTGTGCTTTTCCAATCTTCTCCACCCCTGCACCAAACAATGACTTATCCTATTGACATTACTATATGATATATAGTGATATAAATGGTATATAATATATAAATTTAGATATAATTTATGCAATATACACGTTAGGTTTACCTGTTTTAACCATGTACCAGAACTTGATCTCCTGTCCTATATTCTGTTCTGTTTATTTTTTTGAAGTTTTTTCAATTTTCATTTTGAGATAATTCCATACTTTTTAAAAGTTGCAAAATTAATGAAGTCTCATATACTCTCTGCTCAGCTTTGCCAACTGTTAGCACCTTAGATAACACACAGCATAGTTACCAAGATCAATAAATTGATATTAATTAGCACATTATTAACTAGTCTATATACCGTATTGGAATTTTGCTAATGGTCCCACAGATATTTGTTTTGTGGTCTATTTCAATCTCAGGCCTGCATTTAAGGATCCTGATCTCCTTAGTCTTCTTTAACCTGGGATAGTTCCTGTCTTTTTTGTCTTTATGATCTTAACATGTTTGAAGAATGCTGGCCATTTAGTTAGTTGACTGACCCTCAATTTGGGTTTGTCTAGTATTTGCCTGTTATTAGATTCAAGTTTGGGCACAATTGCCACAGAAATGCTATTGCAACCTGCTGAGGGCATCATATCAGGAGGATGTGTTGTCAGTATGTCCCATTCATGATAATGTCAACTTTGAAACATTGATTCAGATGGTGTTTTGAGGGTGTCAGGACACCTCAGTTTTGCTTGTGTAATTTTGTTTGAAAAGAGCATTCTCCCACTAAACCAGATACTTTATCTGTGTTGAAATTCATTACCATCATTCATTGTTACTCAGATTGTCACGGGCTTGGCACCTGTGTCCTTTCACCATGTGCCCATCATTAACTTTTTATTTTATTGTGATGACATGTAACAAGAGCTCTATCTCCTTAACAGATTATTAAGTGAAAGAATACAGTCCTGTTAAGCATAGCAGATCTCTAGAACTTACTAAAACTTTATACCCATTGTGTATACCCATCCCTGACCATCGCCTTTTTTTAAGTTTTGTTTGTTTTCTGGTACCACATGATGTTCTAGGCTCCTCTTGTATTTTTTCCTTCCCCAGTCCTGGACTCAGACTTTTCTCCAAGGATCTCTGGTCCTTTTTTTACAAATGGTATTTAGAGATCTAGATCTGGTGCTCGTTGTGCTCATTGTCATTGGTATCCATATAAACTCAATACTTGAACTCAGTTTGTATGGATACCTTTGATTAAAGCTGACACTGCATGGATCATTCTATCTAACCTTTCCCTTTTCCATATTAGTAACTCCTTTCTTCAGCAGTGAGAAACCTGGTTCTCATTTGCATTATTTATTTATTTGCTAAATCCTCAAGTTTATACTTAAAGTAGCTCCAGAATTGCTGACTCATATATTCCTATGGGAAACAAGTCTGACTAACTTGAGAAATATGTGTGTGCGCACTTCTGTCTTTAGCTCTTTAGCCTTAGAGTATGTAGTCAAAATACTGTTTCCAAAGTTACTCTTTTTTTCCTTTTCCACCATTTCTGTGTGGTTATGTTATTTATATAGAGTCTACGGGGCCTTGAACTCAGTAACTTAACAGCCTCACGTGGGGATGGATGGTTGTTCTCTCTTACCTCCCCCTTGAAGGGGAGCCCATGAAGATTTGGCCCTACATACCTAGCATTCTGATCCTGTTCCAGAAGCTTGTTTGCCTCTTTTAAGAGTTTGGCCTGCAATTCAAGCAACTGCCACCAGATGGAAGGAACACTCTGTTAAGAAAAACAAAACAAGTATTAAGATGGCTAATGTTTACCAGTGATCAGTAAGTTATATATCCCTGTTCTCAATTTAGGGGATTATTTATGCAGAAACCCTCTGTCTTCATTAGAATCTCTGTGCCCATTTTCACCTTAGTTACTGACTTAGCATGATTCCTTTCTTATGCTGCCTTTCGTCCCAAGATGATCTATAATATGTTTGACCACCCTGGCTGAGCTAAGATGCCTTCCTTCCTCTTATTTTGCCTTTGCATCTTCCAGTTGTTATTGCCCTGCAGTGACAGGTCTTCCTGCTCTCTGTTTCTCCACTCAGTTGCATAATTCAGCCAGGTTAATGTTTAGAAAATGCCACTTTTCAACTTGTCCTCCAGAAACTTCACTCTCCTTTGTCTAAGAATTAGTCTGGCTTTTAAGGCACCCCACCCTGTCCTACGTGATATGTTTAAAATACATATGGTCTTGCCTTGGTTCCTGCTCTCATCATATCGTACACATCTTTAACACCTAGTTCAAAGTCTAACTTCTTTTTTTATTCAATCAGCAAATATGCTTGAATGTGTTACCATGTGCCAAGCATTATTTCAGGCCCTTGAGAATTCATAATGGAATAAGACAGGAAAAATCCTTGTTTTCATGGAACTGTTACTCTAATGGGAGAGTCAGACCTCCCCTTCCCACAGAGCACCCCCATAATCCACACTTAGCACTGTCTCTTCCTCAGAGCACTTCTTTTATATACATAAAGTACTGTAGGAAGGCTACTGACAGTATTTTGCATTCTGCCAGAATTGATCCATACAAATGAGTGTTGCCCTTCCAGATGATGACCTTGGGAGCTCTGACACTCTGGTGCTGTAGGACTTATTCAAAACACGTGTAGCAGTTTTCTTTAGAAATGTCCTCCACAGCCGGCAGTGTATTCACCTAAATATCCTCAGCTGCGGCAGAGGATCCACTGGATTTTTTAAAATGGCCTCAAGTCTCCCAGAATGGAACATTAGCTAAGTGAGCATGTGTGACAGAAGGAAAGAGATGGTTTTTTGACGTGGCTCAAAAATGGACTATTAAAGGGGGTGCCCAAAGAGAAATCCAGAGACATGAGCAAGTGACAGCAGGGCTCAAATACAGTCAAAGCTTATACTGAAGGACAGCACCCATTTGAAAACATTAGTGCTGGTAGTTTTGCCTGAAGATATTAATTTAATTTTAGTATTTATCCTCTCACCTGGTGGCTTTTACTGCCTTATGCATTCTCAGCTTGTGTTTTTTTTAATCTGTTTTTCATATTCTCCCAGTTAAGTGATAACTCTCTTAGAAATGAGAGGTTTTGTTTTTTTGTATCACCCAGTGTCATCTTTACTTGTAGTAGATGATCAATAATAATAGTTGATTGTTTAATGAGGTAGTAACAAAGGCAATAAACCATTAGTTGATACTTGTTTGTGTAAATATATACTATAATAATTTCCTGACTATTTATTGGCATTAGCAGACTTTAAATTATACACTTAGAGCTTTATGTCAGTCTACTTCGTGATGATTTTACAAACCCATTTGGCATTTAAGGTGCAGTACCATTAAGTGTTCATATTATATGAGCTCATTTCTTCTCTAGAACAGCAAGGGGATCTCATAAAGTAAGTGAGGTTGTCTTCTGCCTGGGAAGAGCAGAAGTTGGTATCAATATGAATGTAATCTATTGTTTTGAATTGTTTCCTTATAACTCAGGAGTAGAAGTGTATTGCATTGTGACATTAGAAGCATTTAGGACTGCCTATACTATTGAGTACAGTTTCCTGTTTTAGTTTCAAAAAGTTGATGGAGTGAAACATATTAACCCTTTTCTTCATTTTTTTTTCCCAGAACCTTTGTTTCATTTTGCCACAATTTTTGTACCAGTTCTTCTGTGGATTCTCACAGCAGGTTGGTTTCCCTACATATTTGTTGTAATGTAGTTTATACTTGCTGTTAATAAACTACCTTTTGTGTATTGGATTATAGAGATTTAAAGAGGTATGTCCAAAATAAAAGGATTTTTTTCCCCCTTGGTTCAACAGTTGGTCTTCTTGGCCTGGTTTTTGACCAATAGCAAAATTTTATGTCTTTGCTTCAGTAATGGTCTTATTGTTATTTTCTTTTTGAAAGTTATTTGGTACATCCTATTGGAGTTGAGATCATTTAAAAAAATTTTGTCAGTGTATATGTTTTCCAATAACTTTAAAATGTTATACTATATTTATATTTCATCAAATAAAATTTTTTATCTTTTCATTTTCTCAAGTTGATTTTCTAGAAAAAAAACATTGACGTTTAAGCTAACCGAGAAGCAGTAATTCCTGGATAAAGCCTTGGATTAGTTAAAGAATTCTACACTGGTAGCCCTCTGTAGTTTTCTGAACATTTTTTGCATACAGAATGTGCTGTATGTTGACTTGATATGTAAGTGGTTGGATGAGCAGGCACGTTTGTAGGTTTCTTTTAACAGCTGAAATACATTTTGCATTGCTTCTAGTGGAAGTATAGCTAACTAAAGGAGCTATAATGCTCAGTGACTCAGAAATTTTGTAGTTTATCTATGAGCAATTCAGTGATTTTTACCAAGCTGAGCTGCTGGTAACATCATCACGGGTATTAGAAACTGAGTTTCTATATTTCAAGGCCAGCTCCATTCTTCATGATAGGAAGCGATTTTGTTCCTAATTTCTTGGCAGTATTTTTAGAGAATGTATTCTTTCCAATGGGAAGTGACTGCTCTCTTTCTCTTAAACTTGCTTCTTTGCTATATGGTATGCTGTCTCTTACATCAGTTCCATGTCATCAGCCCCATGGGGCCTGTTAAGCTGATCACTTTATGAATTAGTGGCTATAGGAAGTGCCATCGGCCTTCTTGTATTAAAAAGTAACAGCATTGGTAACAGTTTTTAAAATTCTGATAGTTATACTTTTCTTGAACATTCAGATTGCTATTGATCAAAATATTTGTTAATTCCTCACTTCCATGGATGAGGAATGCAAGTTTTAAAAAGATATTTTGAAATTTTGTAGCAAACTGATAAAGGGAAGCTGATTTTTAAAACCATGTTGACCAAACAAAAATTGTATGAAGAAAGAAAGGAAACCCTTGGTTTTTGAAACCCTAGGCTGTCAGGGGTCTGCTTAGGTTCTCATAGGAGTTGACGTTTGCCTTCCTCAGTTGCTCAACTGGTACGTTAATTCATTTAACAAATACTTCTTGAGTGCCTACTGTGTGCCCTGTTAAGTATTGGGAATGTAACAGTGATCAAAGCTCTTACCCATGGAGCTTGCAGTAGAGTGAGTGATAGGCAGAGAGACAGACAGCAATCAAACATATTACACTGGGTACTGATACATCCTCTGAAGGAAAAAAAAAAAATAAGTGAATAGGGGACTTATTGACTGGGGAAGAGAGCTGCTTTTTTAGACAACCTGATCTGGGAAGTTCTCTCTGATGAGGTGACATTTGGGCAGAGATTTGGAGGAAATGAGGGAAGAACCTAGGCAGACATCTTAGAAAAAGTGTACCAGATAAAAGGAAGGTCTCTTGGTGGCTCAGATGGTAAAGGATCCACCTGCAATGCAGGAGACTCGGGTTCAGCCCCTGGGTTAGGAAGATCCCCTGGAGAAGGGAATGGCAACCCACTCCAATATTCTTGTCTGGAAAATCCCATGGACGGAGGAGCCTGGTGGGCTGCAGTCCATGGGGTCGCAAAGAGTCAGACATGACTGAGTGACTAGCATATCTGAGGTAGTGATGTTTGTAGCTTTCGTTTCCACTTTGGCCTTGGGCTGCTGCTGAATGCATAGACCGTTATTGCAAATACGTGGCTCAGACTGTAAAGCATGTGCCTGCAATGCGGGAGACCTGGGTTTGATCCCGGGATTGGGAATATCTTCCTGGAGAAGGAAATGGCAACCCACTCCAGTACTCTTGCCTGGAAAATTCCATGGATGAAGGAGCCTGGTAGGCTACAGCCCATGGGATCACAAAGAGTCAGACACGACTGAGCAACTTCACTGGTGGAATACATACAGGTTAGTCAGCCTTTTTCAGTTTAGGTCTACTTCAGGTGTTCTCTGCAACCCAGGAACTTAGATATGAGCTATGGAGAAGGTAGAAATGGCACCAGGATGCAGATTATTTAAACAAAAATCTACTCTTTGTTTAGTAAAGCTGGAATAGACTGGTCTTTTTTCTTCATGAAAAGATACCATTCATAACAGGTTTCACAACAACAGTATTGTTTGTTGTTTGTTTGTTTTAAGAACTTTTCTGTCTCCTCTGATTATGCATCTAAAAATTATAATTATTTCTCATATACATTCAAAGTACCATAGTGGAACAAAAGTAGATTGATGCTCCTTTGGTTTGAATAAAATTCAAGACTAAATTACACACCAGTCAATCTGGGTTTTTTTGGATTTTTTTTCTTTCAATTTCTCATTAGCAAAAATGGAATGGATGGTTTTCAACGAGAATGTAGTGCAGTGTGCCAACAGACTAGTCCTCTCCCTTGAGAATTAAACTGATCTCCTTTAGCAAGGACTGGTTGGATCTCCTTGCAGTCCAAGGGACTCTCAAGAGTCTTCAACACCACAGTTCAAAAGCATCAATTCTTCAGCGCTCAGCTTTCTTTACAGTCCAGCTCTCACATCCATACACGACCACTGGGAAAACCATAGCCTTGACTAGATGGACCTTTGTTGACAAACTAATGTCTCTGCTTTTTAATATGCTATCTAGGTTGGTCATAACTTTCCCTCCAAGGAGTAAGCATCTTTTAATTTCATGGCTGCAGTCACCATCTTCAGTGATTTTGAAGCCCAAAAAACTAAAGTCTCCCACTGTTTCCCCATCCCCCATTCATTTGCCATGAAGTCATGGGACCAGATGCCATGATCTTAGATTTCTGAATGTTGAGCTTTAAGCCAACTTTTCCACTCTCCTCTTTTGCTTTCAAGAGGATCTTTAGTTCTTCTTCACTTTCTGCCAGAAGGGTGGTGTCATCTGCATATCTGAGGTTAATGATATTTCTCCCAGCAATCTTGATTCCAGCTTGTGCTTCCTCCAGCCCAGCATTTCTCATGATGTACTCTGCATGTAAGTTAAAAAAGCAGGTGACAATATACAGCCTTGACATACTCCTTTTCCTATTTGGAAGCAGTCTGTTGTTCCATGTTCAGTTCTAGCTGTTGCTTCCTGACCTGCATACAGATTTCTCAAGAGGCAAGTCAGGTGGTCTGGTATTCCCATCTCTTTCAGAATTTTCCACAGTTCATTGTGATCCACATAGTCAAAGACTTTGGCCTAGTCAATAAAGCAGAAATAGATGTTTTTGGGGGACCCTCTTGCTGGATCTCATCCGATGATCCATTGGATGTTGCAGTTTGATCTGTGGTTCCTCTGCCTTTTCTAAAACCAGCTTGAACATCTGGAAGTTCACGGTTCACGTATTGCTGAAGACTGGCTTGGAGAATTTTGAGCATTACTTTGCTAGTGTGTGAGATGAGCGCAATTGTGTGGTAGTTTGAGCATTCTTGGCATGGCCTTTCATTGGGATTGCAATGAAAACTGACCTTTTCCAGTCCCATGGCCACTGCTGACTTTTCCAAATTTGCGGGCATATTGAGTACAGTACTTTCACAGCATCATCTTTTAGGATTTGAAAAAACACAACTGGAATTCCATTTCCTCCACTAGCTTTGTTTGTAGTGATGCTTCCTAAGGCCCACTTGACTTCACATTCCAGGATGTCTGGCTCTAGGTGAATGATCACACAATTGTGATTATCTGGGTCGTGAAGATCTGTTTTGTACAGTTCTGTGTATTCTTGCCACCTCTTCTTAATATCTTCTGCTTCTGTTGGGTCCATGCCATTTCTGTCCTTTATTGAGCCCATCTTTGCATGAAATGTTCCCTTGGTATCTCTAGTTTTCTTGAAGAAATCTCTAGTCTTTCCCATTCTATTATTTTCCTCTATTTCTTTGCACTGATCACTGAGGAAGGTTTTCTTATCTCTCCTTGCTATTCTTTAGAACTCTGCATTCAAATGGGTATATTTTTCCTTTTCGCCTTTGCTTTTCACTTCCCTTCTTTTCACAGCTATTTGTAAGGCCTCCTCAGACAGCCATTTTGCTTTTTTGAATTTCTTTTTCTTGGATATGGTCTTCCTCCCTGTCTCCTGTACAGTGTCACGAACCTCTGTCCATAGTTCATCAGGCATTCTGTCTGTCAGATCTAGTCCCTTAAATTTATTTCTCACTTCCACTGCATAATCATAAGGTATTTGATTTAGGTCATACCTGAATGGTCTAGTGGTTTTCCCCACTTTCTTCAGTTTAAGTCTGAATTTGGCAATAAGGATTTTATAATCTGAGCCACAGTCAGCTTCTGGTCTTGTTTTTGCTGACTGTATAGAGCTTCTCCATCTTTGGCTGCAAAGAATATAATCAGTCTGATTCTGGTGTTGGCCATCTGGTGATGTCCATGTGTAGAGTCTTCTCTTGTGTTGCTGGAAGAGGGAGTGCATTCTCTTGGCAAAACTCTATTAGCCTTTGCCCTGCTTCATTCTGTACTCCAAGGCCAAATTTCTCTGTTACTCCAGGTGTTTCCTGACTTCCTACTTTTGCATTCCAGTCCCCTATAATGAAAAGGACATCTTATTTGGGTGTTAGTTCTAGAAGGTCTTGTAGGTCTTCATAGAACCATTCAACTTCAGCTTCTTCAGCATTACTGGTTGGGGCATAGACTTGGATTACCCTGATATTGAATGGTTTGCCTTGGAAACAAACAGATATCATTCTGTCATTTTTGAGATTGCACCCAAGTACTACATTTTGGACTCTTCTGTTGACTATCATGGCTACTCCATTTCTTCTAAGGGATTCCTGCCCACAGTAGTAGATATAATGGTCATCTGAGATAAATTCACCCATTCCAGTCCATTTTGGTTCACTGATTCCTAAAATTTCAACGTTCACTCTTGCCATCTCCTGTTTGACCACTTCCAATTTGCCTTGATTCATGGACCTAACATTCCAGGTCCCTATGCAGTATTGTTCTTTACAGCATCGGACCTTGCTTCTATCACCAGTCACATCCACAGTTGGCTGCTGTTTTTGCTTTGGCTCCATCTCTTCATTCTTTCTGGAGTTATTTCTCCACTGATCTCCAGTAGCATATTGGGCACCTACCGACCTGGGGAGTTTCTCTTTTAGTGTCCTATCTTTTTGCTCTTTCATACTGTTCATGGGGTTCTCAAGACAAGAATACTGAAGTGGTTTACCATTCCCTTCTCCAGTGGATCACATTTTGTCTCCGTCTTCTATGTAGAATGTATTTTTAAGTTCATTGAAAAGGTTGCATGCATTATATCTTGCTTTGTGTCTGCTGCAGGCAAGAAGTCTGGTCCCCTCCTCTAGGCTCTCCCAGCTCCCTATACAGTCACCACGCTGCCGCCCCCTCTACACTTGATCTTAGCCGAAAGGCCAAGAAGCGATTGCCTACCCCTCTAGAATTCGAACTCCTTGCAGACAGGGCATGAATCTTCTCTGTTTTCAGTATTTCACACTTGGTAAACGCTCAGTAAATTTTTTTCCCCCAGCAAATATTTTTGAAGTCAACTAATGAATGAACTGATGCTCTATTCAAGTTATTACCAATCTTTTTGAATCAACATCCACTATGATATTAATTGTATCTTTAATTGACATTGATTGAGAAATGTATAATTCTGTTCATTTGTGTCACATTTAAATGTATTTTATTAATCAGAAACATTTTATATATGTAAAAGATACATGCAAATATGGGATATTGTCTATTCAGGTCATAGGTAACAGTTATATTACAAAATGTAGCACTGTGTAGAAATTACTGAACTCAGTAAATATTTTCATCAAAACAAGTTTCATTATAAGCACCTTAATATTTTTTCAATAAAGGAATATTTATAATGTCAGATCAGTCCTATACGAATACATTATAGCTTCCAATCTCTAGTCATTCATTCATCCAGTTTTCGTTGAATGCTTCCTGCAAGCCAAGTTCTGTTCTAGGAATTCAAGATTGTCAGAGCCAGGAGAATACTTGCAGTTCATCAAAGTAGGTTTATTAGTCAATGCAACAGAAAGAATGTACACCATGAGGGACAATGGAACTTCTTAGAAAGAGAGTGTTAGAAAAGTCTTGTAAGATTTGGGCTTGAGTTAGGTGATTTGGGGAAGGGTTTAAGGAATAGTAGGGCCTTGCTGGCTTCTGTTAGCAAATGGGATTAATTTTATGACTGGGTGTGTTAGTAAATCTTGTCCAGGAAGCTAACATGTCATTGGTCAAGAAGTAGTAGTCACCCAGATTAGCCAGAATATAGATGTTGGTCATTATTGTGATCTGGACAGTGTTTATATTGTGTCTATGTTCAGAAGTGGTTATGGAGTGGTCATGTTTTTGTCTTCATCCATTACAGTCACAGTGGCCTTGTTTGATGTTGCTGTTTCGTGAAATTGTGTTCTACAGAGCACCAGTGCCTAGCTCTGAGTGCCAGGCCAACTCTTGGATATCAGGGGCTGCTTTGCTTTTTCTTAAGCTACAGCTATCAATAAAATAAGTAAAAATCTCTGCTGACACAGAGCTTAAATTCTAGTGTGAAGAGAGATACAGTAAACATAATAAATTTATCGTGTAAATTAAAAGGTGATTAGTACTATAAGGGGAAAAACAGGTAGGGTGGAGGAAATGTGTTCAAGAGAGAGGATGTGGCAAGTTAAATCAAGATTGGTCTGACTGAGAAGGTGACAGACAGGTAAAGAGAAGCCAGATCAAGGGGGACTTTACAGCCCCACCATTGTAGAAACTTCTTTACTTTTAGAGATAAAGGAATCCATTGGAGAGTTTGAACAAAACAATGATTTGATTTCACTTATTTTCTAGTAGAGCTGCTCAGGTAGTTGTGTTGAGAATAGGCTATGGGTCAAAGGGAGAAGAGGCAGGGAGATCAACTAAAGGCTTGCATGATGGTCAGAGTGGAGGGGCTAAGAAGTAGTGTGGTTTTGAATGTATTTAAAAGTAGAGCCGGTAAACACTTCTTCATAGATTGGATAGGGATTGTGAAAAAGAGAAGAGTCAAGGATAAATCCAAGATTTCAGTTCTGGTTGATCAAAAAGATTTAGTTGCCCTTTCCAGAGATGAGGAAGACTTCAAGAGAAGCAGATTTCAGGTGAGACAAGTCAGGAATTCAGGCCTGGACATAAGTTTGAAAGATACTAGACACTCAGGAGGAGGTATTGAGTGGACTGTTGGTCATATGGAACAGGTCTGTGCTACATACAGGAATTTTCAGTGAATGGGTTGTATTAAAACCACAGGACTGTATGAGATCAGCTAGAGAGCGAGTATACAGTTCCAGACATGGAGTACTGGAACACGCCAACACAGAGGGCTCAGGAAGAAGAGGAGCCTGAGATGGAATGGCTAATGAGGTAGAAAGAGAATCACTCAATTCAAAAAAATGTCTTGAGCAAGTAAGCAGTACCAGGCACCAAGGTAGATACTAGGGTTGCAAACATTGTGGGGCCACTTACTGAAGTAGGGGACGTGGGAGGAAGCGAATTTAAAGGGAATGAGTGAGTTTGCGTTTAGACATTGTGAATTGCAGGTTGTCCTATGGACACCCAGCAGGAAGTTTGGTCTGGAGCCTACGGAATTCAGGGCAAGAAAGAGTCATGACCATGTGAATATATTTAGCTTTGATTTTTGTGAATATATTTATTTAATCCTTAGTAAATGGCCACATTTGATATCATAAATACAGTCCAGAGAGGGTCATAGTGGTATTTAAAAGCATGTAAAATATTAACAACAAAAAAAAAAAACTGTGACACAGGCTGGCCACTGCTTATATTTAGTTTTCCTAAGGAGTTCCTCTCTTACACTTAATTGGTCTTCATTCACTGAAAATCTTTTGAAAAGTTCTTGGTTAGTATCTGTTAGAAATAGAGTTTATAGCATGTAAACATTCTGAATAAGATCCTGTTTTTAAAGGGAGGATATATTAATATGGTGCATTACAATATTTTAGTTTCTTTTCTGTACGCATCAGAGTGACCTTATTTACAAAACCGTTTTTTGCTGTCACACAAAGTGTGAAAGGAAACTGTCTTGTTTAAGCTTGTGATTTTTCTAGACAGTTTAATATCCTCTGGCAGATGATTGTTCCAGTACATTTATTTCTCTTTTGTGGTTTGTCATTATAGCCACTGTATGATGCCGCTTACCTTACAATGTACAATATCTGCTTCACATCCTTGCCCATCCTGGCCTACAGTCTGCTGGAACAGCACATCAATATTGACACATTGACCTCAGATCCCCGATTGTACATGTAAGTTGAACATATGTAAGGTAAAATCCCCTCAGACATTCAAAGTTGTGGGTTTCATTTTATCTGCAGGTCAGAAGGACACAGAACTTCCCTCCTAGTTTGATTACATGGTTCTGTTCTGAATTTTTAGCCACTTAAACTAAACCATCCAGCTGGAAAATGACTTGTCCTAGGTATATGTCTTATACTTGGATGGGTGCAAATTATTTAGTTCAAAATCAGTAGTTCATAAAACTTTGCCTACATTGTCATAGAGTTCTAGAGTCTTAAATTAAGACAGACTAGTTTTAACTACCTGCCACCCCCTCACCTGCCACATGATGTGAAGAGCTGACTCATTGGAAAAGACCCTGAGGCTGGGAAAGGTTGAAAACAGGAAGAGAAGGGGACAACAGAGGAGGAGATGGTTGGATGGCATCACCAACTCAGTGGACATAAGTTTGGGCAAACTCCAGGAGATAGTGAAGGACAGGGAAGCGTGCTGCAGTCCATGGGGTCTCAAAGAGTTAGACACGACTTAGCAACTGAACAACCCCCTCACCCAAAAAAGGGCCACCCAAAGATATAATAGATTGAACTGACTATGTTATGTTGGGCTTTCTTTTGTAAACTGCCCCTGAAATATAGCCTCCTTGCCTTGTTAGCTCCCATTCTAAAATGGCATTGTTGAAGAAAACAATTAACTCATCAAGCCTTTATATTCATGTTGTGTGAGTTGGCAATAGTTGTTTTTCTCCTGGATGGGTACTTGGCACTAGCCCCAGTTGCTTAACCTTTGATTAAATTGGATTTTTGTAAGTGAAGCCTACAGCTAAGGATAAAGATGTTAATTTACTGCAGATTGTAAGCATTATTGAATAGTGGGTAGCAAGTGCAATAGAGAGAGTTGAGTAAGGTTAATTTGTGCAAAGTGAAGGTATATGACTCATAAAACTCACAATTAGGAATTGTTAGACTTAACCAGAGTTATAAAATTTGTTCTTATTTTAAAGATATTTATTATGAAAAATTTAAAACATGCACAGAAGTAGCAACAAGACTATTTATATAGTGAACTTCCCTGTCCTCACCACTCAGCTTGAATATCAACTCACGGCCAATCCTGTTTCATTAATAACCTTGTCTTCTCTATCAAGGACTTATTCTGAAGCAGATCTCAATCATTATATAAAATAGTTATTTCAAAAAAAAATAGTTATTTCAGTACACTACCATACCTAAAAATTTAACAAGTCCATGATATTGTCAAATATCCAGTCAATGCTCAGGTTTTTCCAGTTGACTCATGTCTTCTTATAGCATGCTTATTTGAAACTATATAAGGCCCATATACTGCAGTTGGTTAATAGGCTTCTGAGACTCTCTTAATCTCTAGGATAATTTGACAATTTATTTGTTAACGAAACCTGATTATTTACCTTGTAGAGTTTCCCCCAATGTGGTATTTGCTGATTGCTTCCTCGTGGCATTAATGTGTTCTGCTCTAGTATTTCTTGCAAAGGGTATAGTTTGATCAACAGAAGAATCATAGCACCCTTGGTAGAAATCTTCCAGAGCATGAGCTGTCATACACTCTTGTTTAAATAAATGAAGACTCAAGGCCCAGAAATGACTTGCCTAAGGATAGAGGGTATAATGAGAGGCCAGGGCAAGATCCTATTTCCCTCCTCCTGACGACCAGGCCTGTGCTCTTTTCCACAGGCTGGTGGTTTTCAAATCTTGAGCAGCAGTGTTCTGTCTTCAGACAACAACTAAAGTGAAGACCAGTAGTGTAGTGACTCTGGTGGAAGAGGGATTTGGGTGACAGGGAGCAGAATGCCTCCTGTTCAGTACCACCAAGAGCTGTAGCTTTGTCTATGCCCTGATCTCAGCTCTGCCCTTGCTGAAGTCACTTGACTGAGATGGGCCTCAGTTTCCTCTTCAGTAACAACAGGTATAATCACAGTGTTTGGGGGGGGATTAAATGAGTGACTACATGGAAAAACTTACAGTGGTGCCTGCATGCGTGCTCAGTCTCTCAGTTGTGTCTGACTCTTTTGTGACCCCATGGACTGTAATCCGCCAGGCACCTATGTCCATGGAATTTCCCAGGCAAGAATACTGGAGTGGATTGCCATGCCCTCCTCCAGGGGATCTTCCTGACCCAGGGATCAAACCCAAGTCTACTGCATTGCAGGCAGATTCATTACCACTGAGCCACCTGGGAAGCCCACGGTGGTGCATAGCACATAGTAAATTTTCAATGTGCTTAGTCACTCAGTCCTGTCCTACTTTTTGCAACCCCGTGGACTGTAGCCCACCAGGCTCCTATACCCATGAGTATTCTTCAGGCAAGAATACTGGAGTGGGTTGCCATGCCAAAATTTTCAATAGATGGGAGCTATATAATCTTACTTTTCTATTAATGACACCCTTCTCCATATAACTTCAGGGCTATGCTGAGCCCTTTTGCACATTAAGAATGTTGAAAACTTGAAGAAAGCTATTGACTACAAATTCTTGTAAGGGTTTCAATGAAGTTTTAGTTACAACACATGGGTGTAGGTCATGATTTTTAATTATTTATTTATTTATGGCTGTGCTAGGTGTTCATTGATGCATGCAGGACTTTCAGTAGTTGTGGCAAGCAGGGGCTACTGATTAGTTGTGATGTGCCTGGGCTTCTCATTGAGGTGGCTTCTCTTAGGGAGCACAGGCTCAATAGTTGTGGCGCATGGGCTTAGTTGCTCCTGGATCTTCCTGGATCAGGGATCAAACCCATGTCTCCTGCATTGGCAGGTGGATTCTTTACCACTGAGCCACCAGGGAAGCCTCATCATGAATTTTTAAACAATTTTGCATAGAGGGTAAAGTTGCCACATCTGATGGAGAAATGAAAGCCAGGGCATACCTATCACATAGCCCAAAAGGTGGCTTCCTGCCTGTCCGCCCTGACGAGACGCTGCTCTCAGCCTGTCACTGTGTTGGAGATTGCTCCATTGCTCTGAGCATTCCTTTGTAAACAGGAAGCTCCAGTCTTCATCTCTCCACATTTGTACCACTTAATGTGACGTGTGGCCTTATGTAACATATTGTAGATGTCACCTTCACAGACTTAGTGATGCAGGCACTTACCAAAAAGTTTTGATGTGAAATGTGACATAACTGGATCTTTTCATATTTTTTGAGAGAAATTTGAAAAGTAAACTGTAGTACTTGTTTCGAGGGTAGAGGCATAGTCCCTCTTCTACCACTTTAAAAGGTGAAAGAAAGGTCTCAGTACACCTGCTGCCTCCGATTATATGGAAATGCTCAGGCCTGTGCTGCCGGTCAGCAGCCCCTCATCTTCATTCCCTCCTGTTCCCCTCACATTAGCTACCACATTCTAAGTTACAGCAGGTCCGTCGTTCACCTGAGTTCAGCTAGGAAACCTCAGCTATAACCCAGCACACCATGACGCTGCGTCCTTTCTTCCCACAATGAGTGATGTAAATCCAATGACTGGCTGGAAAGACAGGAACCACTTCCTGCCTCAACCCCACTCAGTGACTCTCAAAACCCTCATTGGCTGGCATTTGCTGGGCCCTCCTTTCAAGGCTCTTTAGGAGAATTGCCTTCCCAGTGGCTCCCAGTTGCCTTGGAAACGTGACTTATTGGCTGTGGGTAGAGCTCATTTCTGGAAAGCAGTTACCTCTATCCTCCTGCAGTTTTCCTAGGGCAAACAGCAGCATATAGCTTTATGCACCCCCCACCATGGCTGTGGAGAAGAAATGGCAACCCACTCCAGTATTCCTGCCTGGAGAATCCCACAGACAGAGGAGCCTGGTGGGCTGCTGTCAATAGGGTCCACAGAGTGGGACACAACTGAAGCGACTTAGCATGCATGCATGCATTGGAGAAGGAAATGGCAACCCACTCCAGTATTCTTTTTTTTTACATTTATTTTTATTAGTTGGAGGCTAATTACTTTACTATATTGTAGTGGTTTTTGCCATGCATTGACATGAATCTTGCCTGGAGAATCCCAGGGACAGAGAAGCCTGGTGGGCTGCTGTCTATGGGGTCACAGAGTCGGACATGACTAAAGTGGCTTAACAGCAGCAGCAGCTCCATCACTGATTTCTGTGTGCACTTGGACATCTTAGTAGGTAAAAGTTGCTTAATGGCTGTTTTTCAGGAAAGCCCACAGCACTCCATACCAACAGAACAGGGATCAGTTGCACTTACATTACAAAGGTCTTTCTTATTCATTACAGCTCAATGACAATCTTCATAGTATTGGCAACAGGTGCTCTATTTGAGTGATTACATACTTTTTGATAAATGTTAAGAGGGATTTGAAATAGAAGCTAAAGAATTCCATGCACAGATCCATTTTCTTTCTGTAGTTCTGTCCCATTAGAATCGGTAGCCTTATTCGACATCCTGACTTGTACCCAGAACACTCCTATTTTTGACGGATGTTAAACTTTGGATCTGTCCACCCGCCATTTATCAAAGCCTAGCTGTACAGTTTCAGACATGTTATTTGACTCATTTTAAAAATATAAAGGGCACCACAAGACCTAAGAAAGGTTAAATTCCCAGGAAGAAATCTTGATTAAAAGAAGTATTTTTATAATTATAGTTACAAAGTCACGGTAGCTTGTTTGGTTGAGAGCATGTGATTTAAAGTCAGCTCTGGCATACTGCTGTACTAGTGGTTCGCAAACTTAACTGCACATTAGAATTACCTGGGGAGTTGTACTTTTTTTTAAATTTGACTGTGCTGGGTCTTAGTTGTGGCACGTGGGACTGAAGATTTGTGTTGTGGCAAGAGAACTCTTGAGTTGCAGTGTGCAGTATATTTAGTTGCAGCATGTGGGATCTAGTTCCCTGCCCAGGGATGGAACCTGGGTCGGCTGCATTGGGAGCGCAGAGTTTTAGCCACTGGACCACCAGGGAACTCCTACCTGGGAAGTTTTAAAATTGTCCTAGTTAGCCAGGTTATACCTCATGCCAGTTAAATCAGAATGAGAGTGGGAGCCAGACATCAATGTCTTTAAAGATCCCCTTGTGATTCCAGTGTGGATCAGAGTTTGGAAACAATCATGATACATCTTTTTGAGGCTCATTATTTGAAAATGGTAGTGATAAGAATACCTGTCTCATGGTTTTTGTGTGTACACAAATGGACTATATAAAACTCTTAAGCCATTTTTACTAAGTACTCAATAAATGAGCTGATTATTATTGATGATGATATTAATATTGTCAGTGACCAGAATTGTAACTTAGAAGCACTTTGACAACTTACTCCAACACCTCAGACAGGAGGTGGTTACACAAAGACAAATCTGTGTCTCCATCTGATCTTTTAATGAAAGCCTACCAATCCCTCAGGAGGAACTCCTTTCATTCTATAAACAGGGTCAAACCCCATGCATACCTTCAGTGTTTCACTGTATCTTTAAATAAACAGCCTACACAGATTCATTAACTTGTGTTTCTTCCCATTTCTCAATAGGAAAATATCTGGAAACGCCATGCTACAGTTGGGCCCATTCCTATACTGGACATTTCTAGCTGCATTTGAAGGAACAGTGTTTTTCTTTGGGACTTACTTTCTTTTTCAGACTACGTCCTTAGACGAAAATGGAAAGGTAAAAAAATATTGTGTCTTTTGCTACTATCAGCATGGCTTAATTTTTTTCCATAGGCATTGGATTTATCATACACATACTATAGCTGTAATCATTTTGCAAATTATTTCCTAAAGGTATGGTATTTAGTTCTCACAGCATCCTTAGAACAATTGAAATGTCAAAGTAAGAAATCACTTCCTGCGTGCACAGCTAACTAGAGAGCTTATGTGCAAACCTCTGGAAGCTTAACTTGGCTGTAATTTTTACTAGGTGAACAGAATTCTTGGGACTTTAGACTTTGAACCTATACACTTTGATGTGAGCCAAGCTTTTGCTGTTTTAAAAGCGAAGTCTGTCCCCTCAGTTCTTAGTCTGTGCTTAGAGTGCAAGGAGGTAACTGCCGTATGTTTGTAGTATTTGCCCAATAATTAGGGAATTCCCTTTTCTTCCTCCTTCCTTTCCACATGGGTGCATAGTGTTTTCCAGAAAGGCTACACTGATCCTGCCAGTGTCTTCCCAGCAAGCGACTCCATAGGTCAGCACCTGCATTGGGGTGACTTTGCCCTGGCTGTGCTCTAGGAGAGAATTGCTGATGGGGTGAGGTCTTTGGCAGCCATACAGTGGAAAATTGAACCCACCTTGCATGCCGCTTCCACTAGGTTCTTTGCTATTTCTCAGCTTCCTCTTTTATGGTCATTCATAGTTTATAATCATGTGAAGCAAAGCTAAGTTTCAAAAAGACTTTACTGAGTACAATGACTATGTCTAGAACCACGCAATCACCATTTACTACAGAAGCAATAGGCTCAGTGAATTTGAATGATATACTGAAATAAGGTACTACAGTTAAAACCTCTCTAATTTGGACTAACAGAAATCAGTTTAATCACTAAGTGTTGATGAAATACAGATTTAGTACTTTAGTGTAGGCACACATAGCGTTTGCCAGGGAGAGTTCCCTAGTGAATCTGTGTGCATCCTCAGGCCAGTAACTTCTGTTTTCCAAGTCATTTTGCCCAGTGGTAAGCAGAAGAAATTAGATTGTATGATTTCTCAGATCCCTTCAGCTTTATGACTTCATTCTGTAACTTTACCTTTTTATTTTATGTTTATTTGGCACATAAATTATAGACAGCTGACTATACTCTTCCCACAATTCTGTTGATATGGTTCATTTGCTCAGCAAACTCTACTGGTGGTGCATGGGGAGCCTCAACCCACCCTGTGTTCAATTCATCACCCATTTTGAGTTCATGAAGTCCAAATGAATTAGACGTTATTGTATGTTTGCTAAAATTGAAATAAGAACTACTATCAGCAGTTAAACATAACACCATGTATGATTTGATCAAATATTTTTTTTTGCTATTAACCTTAATTTTTTGTTTTTATTTTTTAAAAACCTTTTACATTTCATTTTCTGTTTTAATGTTATGCATTCAGATCTTGACAGCATTTGGTAAGCATATGTGCCATTCATTGCCATCGTTCGGATTTATACATGGTATCTGCTTTTCTTTGATGTGCACATGCTGAGAGCTGTAATATTTATAGCCACAAAATTATTTTATTTTTTTATTAAGATATAACTTACATGTAACATTATATGTCTCAGTTGTATAATATAAGGATTTGATATTTGTACGTACTGATTGATCACAATAAGTCTAGTTACCCTGTCACCATATCACCATATACTCTATTTTAAAATGTGAGTTCATTTGTCTGCAAATTAGTCCTTATTTGAGATCTTTAGAGCTATATTGGGCTTCCCTGATAGCTCAGTTGGTAAAGAATCCACCTGCAATGCAGGAGACCCTGGTTCAATTCCTGGGTCAGGAAGATCCACTGGAGAAAAGATAGGCTACCCACTCCAGTATTCTTGGGCTTCCTGGTGGCTCAGCTGGTAAAGAATCCACCTGCAATGCCAGTGACCTGGGTTTGATCCCTGAGTTGGGAAGATCCCTTGGAGAAGGGAAAGGCTACCCACTCCAGTATTATGGCCTAGAGAATCCCATGGACTGTATAGACCATGGGGTCGCAAAGAGTCAGACATGACTTAGTGACTTTCACTTTCAGAGCAATATGGCAGTAAAAGCCCATATCAAACTGTGTAGAGACAGGAGACATCCAAATGAGTTGTCTTATGAACATTACTGGTAGTGGAATAGAATTTTTCCTGCCTGTATCATGCTAGTCTGTTCTTTGTTTTATGCTACATAGAATCATGAAATAAACCCTACCAACCACACACGTGGTGTCTCTTCAAGAAAATTTAGGCTCACCGTAAAAGCCTGTAACATATTGGCCTGATCTTTTGAGCAGGTAATTTCCCTAAACAATTTATATAAAAATCCTTATCAGTTACACACAAGATTAAACTGGCTGTTTATTGTTTTAAGCAGGCTTGTGTATTCATGGTACATGTAATTGTTGAATGTTTTTCAGGTATATGGAAACTGGACTTTTGGAACCATTGTTTTTACAGTCTTAGTATTCACCGTAACTCTGAAGGTTAGATTTTTATTATTCAAGTATATTTAACACCATTTTTTAAAATACTTTCTGGTCTTATACTAATATATCTTTTTTGTCTTCTAATCTTAATTTTTACTGTGAGCTGTTATTCAAGTCTGAATGCTTATTAAAATTATGTGTGGTATTAGAGATTTGGACATTTGTATACTATTTGTGATCCATTTTTCCCCCACAATGTTGTCTATCCTCTTTTTTTTTTTTAATACATGATACTTATATTGGAAATCTCTGCCTTTGTTCCTGCCTTTTTTGAGATGTTATGAGAAGTGGTATATAAATGTACTGTGAGTGTGTGTGTGTTTCCATGTTAAATACTTGAATATTTTTTAAAGTTATATATCTGTTTAAGAAGGCCAGTCCTTAAAGGAATTTGGATACTTAAGACAGTTGAATATAGGTGTCCATGAGCAAAATATGTGTCCCAAAGAACTTGTGATTATTCATATTTTTTCATATTCAATAATTATTATTATTCAATAATTCAATAATATTATTATTATAATGATGGTATTTCATAGAATGTTCAGTGTTTATCACTGAAATTTACCCATGTTAGTGATGAAATGCATAAGAATATATGGCAGGTAACATACGAGGAAAGCAGTTTTGGCAAAATCATTGTCATTAACATGCAGCCATGTAATAATGCTGTATGCTGAATACTGCCCTTAAGACTCATGAGTTGGGCCACTGTTACAGTTGAAGGTATAATCAAATTATGTTGATCATTCCAGTAATAAAGACCTCACATGGAATCCAAGAATGAGTACCTTTAAATAATGAATTTCATTCTGCCCATTGATCAGAACTAGATTCAGAAGTATAATTGACAAAGGACCTCTAACCATTTCCCCTCTGTGTTTTTATACATGGTCCATTTGTCGTACTGAATAGAACTAACATGTTTGCATTCTTCATGTACTATTTCAGTGATATTTTAGGCTTGCAAAAGAAAATGTTGCAATTCAACTCCGTTTAGCCACTTACTAGCTGGGTGTCCTTGGGCAAGTGACCTTGTTTCTCAGCACTTCTATTTCCTCTTCTATAAAATAGAAATAAAAGGAGCACCTACCTCCCCTGGGATTTTTTATGAGAAGTCAATTAGTAAATATAAAGCAGTTAAAGTTGTGTCTGGCACATAGAATGAGATTGGTACAATAGATGCTAATTATTATTATTTACTATTGTATTTCATAGGATCATGACTTAAAAGGGGATTCTCTCCACCCTTTTTTACCCCGGACCTTGTATGTGACCCCAGGGCCTTCAAGCACCCTTCATAGTTAAAGTTGGCCTTATTGCAACATTTTTCACCCATCTCTGAAAAGCCATCCAGTCTGTCTTCTTTACATGAGTATTATTGTGACATGTTTCCTAGCAGCTTGGTGGGGGGTGGGGTGGAGGGAATTCAAGACTGGGCTGCATTCACAATGTTACCAATATCCTATTTATGAATGAGCAACTATTAACAGAGAGCTGAGGAGCAGGGTGTCAGAACAGCAAGTAACAAAATGGACATCACCTCCTCTTTAAGAATGAAATGCCCTGGATAGTAAGCATTGTGGCCCAGAAATTTTAAGAAAGCAGAGTGGACCATACTTTTTATTTTTAGATTGCATGTGAAAATCCCAGGTGCCACAGTCAAAAGAAACAATCAGTTCTGGAGGAAACATGAAAGGATTAAAATCTCAGGCAGCTGAAAAGGTTATTGATTTAATGGAGTAGCTGTGGGGTTTGCAATTGAAAGGCATGTTACATAGACCCACAATTTGTGGTTCCATGATGCCTGATATGTAGAGCTAGTTGCCTTTTCATTTAGTAACCCCCCATATGTTGTCTTTGAGGTCTCATGACTTCTTTGTGTAGTTGGTCTTTTCTTCCTAGCTACTCTTTCCCTCTTCCCCTGATCCTCGATATACCTGCCTCCACCAGCTAGGCCTTCTCTTTTTGCCGTCAGCTTCCTGACCACCACCACTTAAGGACATGGGGGCTTCAGTGTCCGGGATCTTACCATGACCTCATTCCTTGTCCTTCCTTCAGTAGTGAGGCATCTGCAGTGGGTACTTGCTTGTCCACACCTCCATGCCTGTACTCTGAAGTCTAAATATCTTGGGGCAGAGCTCTTTGGGAAGTCTGGGTTCTGTTCTTCTAGTGCCGTTCGGTTTTAGTTGCCTGGCCCAAGCTGGATCCTCCCACAGGTATCATGTATGGGTTATTGAATGCCACCGGACACTGCCTGGTGTGGTGTGTACACATCATGAAATTTCTTGTGTTGTATCTTTTCAGCTCGCCTTGGATACTCGTTTCTGGACATGGATCAACCACTTTGTGATTTGGGGTTCTTTAGCATTTTATGTATTTTTCTCATTCTTCTGGGGAGGAATTATATGGTAAGCAACTAAACATGTGGGAGTAATAGGTAAATATTAAGAATATGTATATTGTATATGCCAACATTAATTGTACTTGTACAGTTTTGATTATATAAGATGGCAAGTCTTCAATATTAATGGACTGGAAGTTACTTCTAGCCAGTAATGCTGCTAATTTCAGGTGAGATTCTAAATCTAAGTTTATAGACTGCACAAATTACTCAAAAGACTTTTTGACCTTCCTTCTGGTAGCCCTTGTGCAAATCTTTCAGCTTGAAGATATATAAACATCTCTCTGTGAAGTGAAACTAATTTCTAGCATGGCCTCTCCCGTATATTTCCAGTGGAAATACTCATTATATGAAATTTCTGCACAGTGTAGTGGCCAATATATACAGCCTTATCCATGTGGACCCTGTTCTCCCTTTATGGTATATCACTCTCATTCTTGCTACTACAGATGTGCTCAAGATACAGAATATGTATCACTGAATACTCAGAGGGTTATATCTTGAAATCACCATCCCATTGTTTTGGGGAAGGTAAAGGTGGACTCTGCAGCTTGGATTTAAAGTTCATCCCATTCATCTTGGTTCAGTAGATGTTTATTCGGAATCCATTTTGCATGAGGCACCCTATGGGATACAGCAATGAATAGACTGTACCCCTGCCTCAAGAAGACGAGAGTCCAGTGAGTGCACATAAGCTGTGATTGGGAGAGTCATTAGAAATTAAAATCAGAGTTTCATCTCCTTTCCTTACTGCCAGAGGCCTATATTTTATTTTTAAATATCACAGTTGTTTTCATTCATTGATGATTTCCCCTGACAAGGAAACCAGCAGCAGAGAACAGGGCTAAAGCAAGCCATTGGTTGAAATTCCGGGCATACATATTTTCACTGGTTTGAGCAAAATCGTACATACAGAACATTCCACATTATCACAGAGGACCATGTTTATGTCCCTTGAGACTTAATTAGAAGAAACTTGTACTGTTTTGAAAAGCTTTTTAAAATAAAAGCCTCAAGTAATAAAAATATGGAAAACCGAATCACTTACGGAAGTAGCAGCTCCAGAAAGTATACTTACAGCATTTATTTGACACCTTTATTTGAAGCAGTAACACTGAAGGAAGTCTCTATTTTTTTAATAATATGCAAATGAACCAAAGTTGATTAACCAAATGTGATATACAATAGTAAGATCTGCCCACAGGACCATAATTCTGTCTAGTCAGCATCTGAACTAATTGTGCAAAATTTCCTCAAGAATGAAATGTTTCTAGCAAACTGAACCAGTTTCTCACTCTCTCCAGACTGTTCCTTATTGATTAAAACGAATCCTTGACGTGACTTAAAATATCGCCATACCTGTTTCTATTGATTAGAGATGCTTACTAAAAATGAAATGTGAATAAATCTTTGTTTTACTTTCTTGCTTCTAGTGCTGTCCTTAAGTAGACCTGTCTGAGTTGAGCTACTACATGAATATAAAATTTATATTAATCATAAATCAACCAGCAAAATGTGACTAGAAACTGTAAAACTTCAGCTGAATGCTGATTGCAGCTAGTCTCCGGACATGCTCAACCCTGAGGCATCATGACTCACCTCTCTTCAGGGACAGGCAGTGAGAATGATTTCTGAGCTCCAAACCCCTTCTAAAAATAATATCTTTTGTTTTTTACTGCTCCCTTGCAAGACTCTATAGATGCTGTCAAAATCAGAAAAAAAAAACTGTGGAGCTTTTAGAAACAGAGTATTATGGATATTATGCAAAGGAATACCCAGTAACTAGCAGTCAGAATTGTCTGCTGCACCCTTACTGTGTCTTAGCTGCCTGGAACGTTTGTCGGGGTGCTCTTCTACATTAGAGTGGGACTTGAGCTCTGTGGAAATCTTTTCTCTATGGTAGGAGCCCTAGAAAACTCTTAAGTTTCTCCACCTTACTATTCTCGCAATCTAGTGCCCTGTGAAAGTCACTCAGTCATGTCCAACTGTTTGTGACCCCATGGGCTATACAGTCCACGGAATTCTCCAGGCCAGAGTACTGGAGTGGGTAGTCGTTCCCTTCTCCAGGGGATCTTCCCAACCCAGGGATCCAACCCAGGTCTCCCGCATTGCAGGCAGATTCTTTACCAGCTGAGCCACCAGGGAAGCCCAAGAATACTGAAGTGGGTAGCCTGTCCCTTCTCCAGGGGATCTTTCTGACCCAGGATTCAAACTAGGGTCTCCTGTATTGCAGGTGGATTCTTTACCAACTGAGCTACTAGGAAGCCCCACAATCTAGTGGGTAGTGGGTCCACATATATTCCACAGTCTAGTCCTCATCTGTGTAGAGCCATGAGCTTGATGTGATCATGTTATGTTGCATGACAGTGCACAAACATCAGTGTTTAAGTGAGAAACCAGTGTATCTTATTATTTTTATTAATGTGCATAATGGGGATTCCTTTTAATGCAACAGGCAGCTTCAGTAACACTTCTGTTTCATATAACAGGAACTGATTTGCTTTTCCGTTATCTTCATTGAGCACTATTTGTCATCTACTAAATGGGACCAACCACTTACATACCTAAGGCTCCTAATCCAAGGATAGTTTGGTACATGCCCTGAGCTCAAGCAGCTGCTTTGCGCTTCCTCCCCCTCAGCTTCAGACGACATTCACGCTAACGTAGTGAGCCTCTCAGTGGTTCGGCTCAGACAGGGAAGGGCAACTGGCTGGACTTCTCAGTGGCCGCCTAACGGTTCAGTGGATGACTAAACCCAGCAGAATGTAGCATCCTCCTGGATTTCTGGACCCCAAGGCTTAATGTGTGATTAGCAATATTCTTCTGGCAACCTACTTTGCACACTTTGGTACTCAGTATATATTTGTAGATGAGAATGGTAAATTCCTCACATTTGAGAGAGAAAAACTACAGTCCTTATTATGCTTACATAGGGGTTTTGTGGAGGTGGGGCAGTAATAAAAATGTCTTTTAAATTTCCAAATGTAGAGCACAAATCCTTTCTTAGGTTAATAAAACAGCCAAGGAAATAAAATGTTTGTTAACATAAAAGTTAATCATCATTTCTCTTGAATATGTCAGAAGTGCCAGCATTTTCTAATGCAAATAAATACTCTCCAGTTGGCAACGTTAAAATAGATCACTTAGTTGTTTTCAAGTCAATTGCATTTTCCCCTTTGATTATCATCCCTTTTCTTTCCAAACGTTCAGTAAATGAAATCTGTTTACTACTTTTGGTCATTCTAAAGAAGATTATTTTTATTAATGTATATAATGAGGATTCCTTTTAAATGCAGCAGATAGTTTCAGTAACATTTCTGTTTCATACAACAGGAACTGAATTGCTTTTCCATTATGTATTTTCTTTCCACTCTAGGCCATTCTTGAAACAACAGAGAATGTATTTCGTATTTGCTCAAATGCTGTCATCTGTATCCATATGGTTGGCCATAATTCTTCTAATATTTATCAGCCTTTCCCCTGAGATTCTCCTGATAGTATTAAAGAGTGTAAGAAGAAGAAGTGCCAGGGTAAGAACTAACTTTATATTATAACCTGATTTTTGTAAGGGGCTTCAATATCTGCCATGAACTAAAAACTTTATTTAGAGAATTGCCTTAGTTACAGCATGTTAAACCCCTCCTTACAGGTTCATCACTTAATTTCCTCTTCTGCATAAAAAGTATAATAAAAAACTTCGTTATCCAATGCAGGTGGTAAGTAGATTCCTTAATAGTGTTCTATGTGACCTTTAGTGATCCATATGGAGTATCTCATATGCTCCATATGGAACTTTAAACAGAAAAAAATGATTTTTTTTATTTAGCCTAGAATTTTCACACTGGGAATTTCCACACCAACGTTTCAGCTTTTTTTTCTTTTTTTTAAACAAAGCATTCCAGCTTTAACCTTAGAAATTTCCCTGTGGGTTGTTTGCAGATTTTTTTTTCAGTTGATAATCCCAATTTGCCTCTTTCAAACCTTTCCCCTTCCTTTAATTATAGTGCTGCTTAATCTCTGTGTTGCTTCTAGCCCTGTCTGTCCAGCAGTATATTTAAACCAAAGAGAATTCCCTGGATGTGGTTTCTACATCCTTCCCCTCTCAAACACACTTGTAAAAATGTAAGATGGTTTTATGAGTGTGTTTTTATTTTTGCTGCTTATATGGTAAATTTTTTGCAGCAATCAGAAGTTATTACCCTCTGTCAGCCTAATCGCTTGGGCCCGCATTGTCTGATATCTGTTGAACCTTTCTTAAAAAGCCTTTAAACTGAAAAAGGTAGATTAGCCTGGAAAAATAAAACTTCTGGCAAATTTTGACCTACAGGTTAAGTACATATGTCATATTCCTGCCAACACTAGCTAATTTTGCCCAGCAAAACCCCATTTTGATCATACTGACACCAATTAGATCTTATAGCCCCTCCAAGGCAGTATTTTCAAGTAGTCTAAGGTATATCTACCTGATCTGCTTGATTAAATTTGCCAGTTTAGCCAGAAAACTGGTTCATCTTGATTTTTTTTTCCTATTGGTAGATTCCAGTGGTTGGCATCATGCAGAATAGGGAACTACAATGACTATAGTGGGAAAATCTTCAGTGATTGGGTGTATAAGAGAGAAGCTTCATGATCCAAGTCAGTATCAACCCCAGTGAAAAACAACAGATTATCAGTGGCACAAGCCACGTTGATTCATGGTATAAACTGGCCAATCACTATATGGTTAGGTGGTCAGAACTGGCCTTAATTCCGTGCTTCTGCATGCCTTATGGATGAAAGTGGACACAGTAACATTAACCTAGCTAAAACCACCTTAATCTCTCTCTAATCCTTCCAGTAGACCCCCTACTGACTCCCTCCAGCCTGGTGTTTAGTCTTAGAATGGGAAAGTGGCATTTATTTGTCTGATTATACTTTAATACCAGTTGGACAGGGGTATAACAGGTTACTTCTCTAATGGCTCAAGTGACAATTTGTATGAAACCAAATTTTAAAAATGTCACAGTAAGAAATATTTTGGTGCCTTGTCATAATAGAGATGTGTCTACAAAGAATCTCTGTATTTGGAAATATACTCTAAGGAGCTCCTTGATGTTTTTCTTATTTGGGGTAATGGAGCTCATGCTAAACAATGGCTCACTGCCAGCTTATAAATTGACAAAGCTTCATCCTCTAAAGATGAGACAAAAAATCTCAGAAATCAAAACCTTCAAACATAATATCTTATTCTCTTCCTTAGGCCCTTTAGAAAAAATGACACTGGCTGGACGTGACTTACATAAATAGCCATTAAATGGAGGGATGCTACAAGGCAGTCACAGATAAAGACTTAGAACATTTTCTTTCCATGCAAACAGCAGATTCCAGACTTCTTTTGAAAGAAAGCATGGAGTTCTGGACCTGCAGCCCTTTTTACTTAGCAGTGTAGAGTATTTCCAGGGTTTAGCATGAACTTTGTTTGCCATGAATTATGTCCATGATAGGAGGAATTCTAGTGTCTGTGCTGTAGCTTGGCATGCTGATGTGCTAGAGCAACCAGGAGAATTTCCATAATCACCTTCATTCATTCATTCATTTATTCCTGTCGTCATTGAACAGTGAACATGTGTTGAACCACCTACTGATGAACATCTCTCTTAAACATCCAAAGTCTGAAAGGCTAAATGGTTTTTCAGACTCTGTGGAATTTTGAAACTTGCAGATGAGACAGAACATTGCGGGCACTCATCAGCACTGCCTTTTTTTCCCCCCTTGTGAGAAAATGCAAGAGCAAAGTAGTGCATATCAATGCATAAAGGGCAACTGAAACATGGCAGCCATGACTACTCTGAAAAGTCATATCTATTTACACAAGGCTCTAGTTGGCCACATCAAAGAGGCAGAGGCCACTTCAAAGATCTTTCTTCAAAGAAAGAGTATCTTAAAGGCTTCTCTGGTGGCTCAGATGGTAAAAAAAATCTGCCTGCTCTGTGGAAGACCCAGATTCAATCCTTGGATCAGTAAGATCCCCTGGAGAAGGAAATGGCTACCCACGCCAGTATTCTTGCCTGGAGAATTCCATGGACAGAGGAACCTGGTGGGCTACAGTCCATGAGGTTACAAAGAGTTGGACACGACTGAGCAACTCACACTTCAGTGAGCAACAGTCTGGCATTCTGGGTGACTTCCTACTTACCCAGTATCCCTTGATAAGACATTGGCCTCATTTAAAGAACAGCAAAAGATTTTTTTACACTGGGTCCACCTCATTCCTGAGAGGCTTCCTAACGGGCTAGAGTGTGTGTCCCTAGCTAGAAGTAGAAGATGCCCCTGACTTCAACCAGTATAGGTCAGATCCTTTGCAGGGAGAGCCAGAAATGCATGTGGCAAGTAGACTGCTTATGCTATTTGCCTGTGAGTCTTGGCAGCTGCTTTAAGAAGGGAACTCAGTAGTGGATAGAGAAAATGTCTCCAAGGCATTTGAGAAGGAAGCTAAGCCATTTACATTTAACTGTTGTAGAAGCAGCCTTCTGTGGAATTCCATTCAATTCAAAACACTTTGCCCAAGGGTCCAGGGTAAGCTAGCTGCTGTCCTAGGTTGATTATTCCAGCTCACAAGGAGCTCTCACTCTAGTTGAGTTATAAAGGGATTATTTGGAACACTTCTGGAAGCAGGTATAAACAGAATAGTAGTGTCAATAATATGGCTTGTAACACAGCTGAGCCATCTCAGGGTCCAAGTCACTACCTCCAGAAGCCTCCAGTAAAAAGGCCAGTCGCAGCCCCCACCACAGCTGAGTTCTGTCTTGATGATACTAGCAGTATAAAAGAACTCTGCTATCTTCGAAAATAGATTCCCTCAGTCATTTAACTCAGGGGGTAAATACATTTTCACACCCTTATTTTCAGCAGCATAGTTAATTTTTGAGCTAAAATCCCATCATTAAGGATCATAGGGCTTTTCTTTAGCTTCTATGCTGCCAACAAGTGTATGATGAAACTATCATTGAGCACTGAATAGAGTTAGCAGATAACTCTTCAAAGGAAATATAAAGTTTAGGATTTGGGGTACTTCGAAAAGCTGTGTCCCTTCTCAGCACTTTTGTTGAGCTGGCTCTTAATCAATGAAATACACCTGGACCGTCTAGCCAACTAGTGAATACCAGTTACCATTTCTGGCGTAGGAATTTTCCATGTATCTTTATGTTAAGTTTTCCCATGGAAACTACCATGATCAAAAGGAGGCTTGATTTTGCCTAGTAGACATGGAAACACTATAATATAATGAGAATGGATGCAGCAACATGGCTATACCTTGCAGGTGACGTCTGCACAAACAAAAGCAAACATTCAGTTACACAGGGAGCTCTTTCAGAGCGGCAGCCTGGAGAAGGAAGAATGTCAGGTATCTGAGCAAAATTCCCAGAGAAAGCACTTTAGAGAATACAGTTGCTCCTTCAGTAACAATGGTGACTGATGATGACTATTGAAATCCTTACAGTGTCTCATACAACATGAGCTCTAAGGGTAACAGCCCTGTGATCTAGATTAGACAAAAATAAAGTTGAATCTTAACATCGTGGCTGTGGAGGTGGACCTTTATGCATTGGCCTCTTTGACAGACTGCTAATTGAGCCAGTGTCAAAGCTCCCTAGATGACTGCAAAGGAATGTGGAAATTTCATACTGTTTTGTTTGTTATCTCTCACGCTTCTACCCCTGCTTCCCACCCCCAACCAGTTGCTAGCTGTATCAATTTTTTATTGCTTTACTCTTTTCATACTCTCTACTGCCTTCTGTACTCTCATATTTCTGATTTCCTTTATAAAGTAGCCTATAAATCCCTAAAATTTCTACTTCATAGAAAAACTTTTATCTCCGACAGTTGGATACAAGGTTCTGAGCACACCAAAATGTGTTTCAAGTTACACTCTTAAATAGATGGACTTATATTTTAAACACAGGGTGGGGGGTTTGGTATCATGTTAATCTTGTTGCAAGGTTTTTGCCTACAAAAGAGAAGGTGAACAAGTAAAAATTTTTTCTCAGAAACTAAATATTAATCTCTCTAGCTTTTATCAATTGGTAATTTGCATGTTACCAACATGTCACCAAGGTAAAACATGAACAGGAGAAATGTAGTTATGTTAAAGCATATATGAATAAATAAAATTTTTCCTTTGAAAGTATAAACATTTATTAGATTCTGCTAGATATATGTGTTACTTTAGCTGGTTTCTTTTTGTTAAGCCTATTTCTGTTAGTCACTAAGTAGATAATATGGGTAATCTTGATTAGCAGAATCGTTAAGCTCATCTGCGTAGTTCACCACTCACCACTCATCTGTTTTGCTAGAGCAATACCACACCAAGTCTATAAATTAGCCTACAGCTTCAGACACAGAATAAGGGGAAAAAAACTGACCTGTTAGGTTTTCTAACTAAACTTTAAGTCATTGATTTTCACTTTTTCTTAGTGTTTTAAAGGAAAAATTCATAGCTCTTCAGGCAACGCTTTTAAAGAGTCTACAGGAAAAAAGGGGGGAAACCAATCAAATTATGTTAGAATAAAGGAAGTTAAGCTTTGGTTCAGAGGTAAATGGTACTAAAGTGTGGTTTCACCAACAGTTTCTCCATTATTTAGTTTTGATTAGGTTTTTAACCTGAAAATGCCCAAGGACAATCAGTCCGTATTACATGTGTGCAATTGGACAAGGTGAGATAGTTACTTGAAGATAGGTTGGTGATGGATCCTGAGCATAGCTCTCTGATCATTGAATTTTAAACAATGTAAATTAGTGAATTAATGATTAGAGATGAACTTTATTTCAGTGAGAAACATACTTTTAAATTATTTTATTCAAAATAGTCAATATTCCCATGAACCAAAAGTTTTTAAATTGATATACAGAGAAATAGCAGTTTGCTCATACAATAAACTATTCCTAACTCTAACTCTACTTTTACTTCAGAAAGTAACGTCTTTAAAACTAACGTCATTTCGACTTCTAATTCTCAAGGTTTCTTTTTAAATGTCTTACATTTCAGAGAATATTTACTTTTTTCTTTCTTTTTGGTTTCTGCATTTCTCTTTTTTCTACTGCAATTTTCCACCTTTTGTGCAATTGTGAACAAGGTAACGAAACGCCTCCCTTCCTCAGGAACATCTACTATCTTCATGCTTTCTCAAACTTCCAGCAATCACAGTTTCTCTTGGAGTGAATAAGGTGATTTCCTTTCTTAATGTACCAACTTGCTTGCATTCTCATTTGCTTGACACCATTTTCTGATTCTTTATGAAAAATTCTCATGACTCATCTTTATATCTTCTATTTGATACTTAAGAATATTTTGCCATTTTCCTTTAATCATTTGTTCACCTTCTCAAATTGTCACACTGGAGAATAAAAAACCTGGACTGTAAGTCTAGTCCCACTGGTTCCTGGTACACAGTAGAAGCCACAGCGTGTTAGAGTTAGTCTGTTCACTAAGATAGAAATGTTTTGCACAGATTTCTTTGTTCAATACACTCAGAGTACCGGAACAACTCTCAGAGGTGTTCACCAAAAGGATGGTAAGGTTTACTAATCAAACCATATTGCCTTCATCTACCACATAACTTACCAGTGTCATTTCAAAAACTCAAGTTTGCCACGTACTACTAATGTCTGTATTCTACCATGAAAACAATTCAATGCAAGGTGGAGACTTTCTTAGGTCTTTAAGTGTATTCATTAAATGTTATGCATTTGCTATAGTATAATCATGTGTACTTTTGGCCAGAAGAGTAGTCTTATAGGAAATGATTTTTTTTCTTCCTACATTTTTATCACCAGGTAGGTTACCAATCTTTAAATGCTTTAAGTATCTTTACCTCACTATTACAGAGCAATCTAAGCTGTAAAAAGGCATCTGACTCGTTATCCACCAGACCTTCAGTCAGACCTCTTCTTTTACGAACATTCTCAGATGAATCTAATATATTTTAACAGGTACCTAGTGTTAAAACAAGTGGGCTGGCTTTAAAGAAACAGATTAACAGCATTATAAAGAAAAAATGAAAATATCACTCTCTAAATTTTCTCTGCTGTTGGTGTGGTGAACTTTATACTATTCTTTGAAAAAATATAAAGATGCATTACTTGGAATATGGGGAAGTACATATTTTAAATTTGCTAAGCCCCAAAATAAAATTTTATGCATTTTCCAGAGCCGAAGAGTAATATAATATATTTAATTTGTAAGGGGCATGTTTTTATGGCATCAACATGAGAAGGCTTGTTACCACTGATAAGGAAATATAATTGGATTTTAAAAGATCATTTGGAAAATTAAAAATAAATATTCCAAAATTGCATCTGTATAATATCAAGTCAGTTTTAGTATTGCATGTTCTTTTGGGAATTATGTGGAAATAATTCAGTGTGTCTGTACCTCCATGTGCTATGTCTGTGTTTGCAGGTATATATTTATGTCCTTGTAAATGTCCGATCCCCAAGTGTATGGTAATGAACCAATCTACTCTAATCACTTCCTGTAGTGTCAAGTTTTATTCAAGCTAAGTATTTCAACTTTCGGAGGTGAAAGCTTTCCTAGCCATTCAGGGGGATGCTAGCCTAATCATTTAGAATGCATCATAATTAATTTTTCCAAAAGTGAGTAAATTCATCATATAACATGTTATTTCATTTACCTCCCCCCCAAAAAAAATATTTGGAAGGAATTGATATGCCATGGGAGGAATCTTTGAAGTCAGAATGACTCCTCTATATGTATTTTTGTTTCCCACTGCAGGGGCCTCTGTCACCCCAGGCCTTTCAAGGTGTTTTATCCCTCCATGGTCGTTTAAAGTACTTCATGAATGAGGTTTACAAATTTGTCAGCTTAGAAACAATTCCACACAGCTTAGGGCAGGGCGTCTTTCATGCACACATAAAAATTAATGATCATCATGAATGACATTGCACATCAGTTCACTTTGATGCTAACAATTGTGAGGCCACTTCATAGGCCCATTTTCTCATCAGCTATCAGCTTCCCTACCCTTCAGCAAAGAATAATAATTGAGCTAAAAAATTGAACCCATTGGTTCTTCTGTCTCCTACAGTTCATAACAGTCTGTATCTGCAGTGTTATTTTGGGAGGCAACTCATTTTGTCTCAGTCTACCTCCTTTTACCCAGTTGGAGTGACTCAGTTCAGTCGCTCGGTCATGTCCGACTCTTTGCGACCCCATGGGCTGCAGCATGCCAGGCCTTCCTGTCCATCACCAACTCCCAGAGTTCACTCAAACTCACGTCCATTGAGTCGGTGATGCCATCCAAAATATTTTCCTTCAGTAATGAATCTGCTTCCTAGTAGCCTTCAAAGTCTTTGACCATCTTGTCCCAGATAGCCATGTCCTTAGCTGTGTGGTGTGTTTTAGTGAATTTTTTATCCCCCTGGATTGCTTTACTTAGCTTGGTCTGTGGTTTGGGAGACTAGGCTGGGTAGCAGACATTGCTACTGCTTTTGGTCTCTCCAGGGCCTTAACTCCTACCATGTTAAAACTAAGTAAGTTTTTGTTTTGCTTTGTTTTTTTCAAAAACAATTGTTTTATTTTTAAAGTAATTATTTCTTCTAGGAATATATTTTCATATGACATTATTTCTTCTCCAAGGAAGAGAAATCTGGCAGTTAGTTTAGCCACCGAGTTTGTCCCTTGGTTGTTAAGGAAACTGCCTGACTCCTTATATAAGTTCTCATGTGAATGTCAGCCTTATTTTGGTTAGCGTCAACTTGCCCCTGCTACCTGAAGAACTAATATGAGAATGTGTGTGTGTGCCAAGTTGCTTCAGTCATGTCTGACTCTTTGCGACCCTATGGACTATAACCCACCAGACTCCTCTGTCCATGGAATTCTCCAAGCAAGAATACTGGAGTGGGTTGCCATGCACTTCTCCAGGGGATCTTCCCAGCCCAGGGATCGAACCTGCGTCTCTTACATCTCCTGTATTGGCAAACGGGTTCTTTACCACTAGCGCTACCTGGGAAGCCCCCAATATAAGAAAATGAAACATCAAAAGAAATGGAAGGTATTCTACAGGGCTTCTAGTCCAAGCATGGCAAGGAAGGCGCACCAAAACGGGAAGAAAACAGTACACCCCTTAAGGCCTTCCACTACCCACAGTTTTAAAATTTGAATTTCTGAGTGTTGAATCAAGGTTAGGTTTACCTCCTTGACAGTAGGACTTGTACTTCTCCACATACCTGATTTACAGGCACCAATTCTCATGCCATATCCTAATGATATCGTGTGATAGTGTTTAGAGGATGAAGAATCTAGATTTCCTAGGGTGGTTTCTGTGGTTTCTTTTCTAAAAAGATAATGAATAAGGAAAACAGAAGAGTCAATTGACTCAGAGATACACGATCTATCAGAAAAAAATTAACATAGGTATTACAGAGAGGAAACATGTTTCTTTAAGTAAAAGTGCTTCCTTAACAATCTTTCAAAACTGAATATTAGAGTTTGTCATAATTAACACAACCAAACACCAGTCATCAATTCATTCATTCATCATGTCCTGAGAACCTGCTGTGTGCCAGACACTGGACTGGGTACTCGAGACAGAAAGTTAAATAAAACATCCCTGTTTTCATGGGGTAGGGCTCACAGCTAGAAGGGATCCTAGTCAGCTAAGCCTCTGCTGTCCTAGTGGTAACAGTTCTTAGGAGAACCCTGGAGCAATCCAAAAGCAAAAAGCAAGTCTGAATCTGTTCAGCTGACAGATGAAGAAAAGATTAAAAACTGGTTATTGTGTCACTTTTTTCCCCAAGCATGTGAATAAAACTTGGCAGCTTTTTTAAGACAATTGGTTTACTCTCATAACAAAGTTTACTACATGATTTATTTTTTTAAGTGCTAAACAGATGGTTTCACATTATTATTAAAATTAATGTTTTAACTCCGTATATTTTACATCTTTCAGAATCCGAATCTTGAACTGCCTATGTTATTGTCCTACAAGCATATTGACAGTGGTTACAGATAAGAGAGAAAGCATGAAGAAACAACTTCAAAAAGTTACCATCTCAGGATACTTGATATGCAACAAACTAAACCACTATTTTACATCTGAGGTTCAAAATAAAATGTCCAGTAAAATACCAAATGACTCTCTTAAGCATTTATAGTTATTATAAGTAGCCATTATGTCCAAAGCTCTTAAGTTATGAATTATATGAAAGTTGAAAGCAAGAATATATAGAATTTCTGACTTTAGATAGAACAACTACCAAATGGGTGCTCTTTTAACCCATGAACTCTGAATGGATTTAAATACAATAGAATAAAGTAGAAGTCGTGCAATGGGAATGAATAGAGTTTGCTAATCTTACTTTTTTGCCTGGCAAAAGAAATAGGCTGTTTGGATCACATTTCTTGTTCATACTGAATGATGATCTCAAATTTTTTCAACATATGAAAGGAATACTTGAAAATATAAAAGAACTAAATCAATGCATCAGATAGTAGTTAATCTTTTCTGTTCACCCACATGCTGATTATCCTTGCCAAAAAGTGCATTGAAAGGTGGAAAGAATGTTAACCCTGGGTATTTTTGCAAAAATCCAAAAAAAATTATTTATTTTTGTTCTTCTGAATTACACTTAATGGGTAGAAGACTACTAGATTTGAAAAGAAATCATTTCCTATCACTTCAGTGACCCCTCAAAATAGTTAAGATGTAACAGATTTTTCCAATATTAGTTTTACTGGGGTCAGAGGTAAAAAGGGAAAACCACAGTTACATTAGAATGCCATTCTGAACATCAGTCTTTTATAATTTTTTTTGTGGAGGGGAAGGAAGAATAGCTTATTTGAAACTGTTAACACTTTCTATTTGGGAGAGGCACCTGTGTGCATATGCAGCACTTTGTTTTTTTTTAACTTGGCAATTTGGGAAGGAGGAAGGGTCCATAACATGACTCTGAACATGAATGTTGTCTCTCTTAGCAAACATGGCTAGGGTAATGGTCTAACTCTAAACCATGAGGTTCACCTTGGTTAAGTCCTCCACTTACTGGACTAGAGGGAGGTTATAGCCTCCTAAGGAGCTCACTTAAAACATAAAAATAAATGTGATATGTTTTCTTTATTAAATGTTAAAATTAAACATATATGTGTTTTTTTGGATATAAGTGACTACATTTGACTCCTGCATTGAAATGGTCTTTTAAAAGATATTTTTATTCCAGTTTCCATTTTTGGTTGTCTTTCTGGCATGCCTGTACAATTATTCATGTTTATATTGTACATTGATTTGGAGAAGTATTAGATTCAGTCTATACCAATGTACTTATAAAGTCCATATGACATATATGATTCTTCCACTTACATTTTGTGTTAATGTTTAGGTGTAATTTTTCTTAAATTCTCGAAAGGACATAATTTCAGTTATCAGAAACCATTCCATCATTACTGACCCTTCTTCATTATTTCATTTGTTACCATCTATCAGTATTATTTTTGAGTATTTGTTAGGTGTCATCACGCCTTCCTAAGTGTGCTGTGTTCTTGTAGCCTAGTATTTGTAGTAGTCTGCTGAAAACTAAGTCAGTATATTCTCTACCTATTCCAAAGAGCTAAAAATCAGAGCCAGGAAAGCTTTTGATGTTTTGTTGTTGTTCTTGTGTTTATAATTGTTGCTGTATTATTACTGTTGTTTTACATAAGAATTATAGAGACTGTGAATACAAAGAGCCCACCTTAACTAGAGAGGCTTGTTTAATGCAGACCATTGGAGGTTTGACATCAAAATATCTAGGGTAGTAGAAATATAACTGGTGGCATGTAAAATTCCTTGCAACCTGGAAGAAAGATAAGTAAGGGGGATATAGAGTCGTGTCTTATAAGGTACCCATTACACTGCAGCTCAAATTCACAATGACAATGATGTGTGATATAGCCTAGATTCTTGAAAGGGACCTGACTTGACTTTTTTAAAGAT